AATTGTTGAAAACCTATTTCTCGGTTGTACTTGTCACTTTTCCGTTTCCTTGTTTTCTCATAGTTCACGCCGATCGCGACGCTTGGTGAACTTTAGGCGGATATAGAACATTGCCTCACTTTGTTAATTACTTGATACATACACTTGAACATACCTAAATCAGTGGAATAAACCCGTGGCGTTAGAATGTTATTTTCTTGTAGTGTTAAATATGTGACTAGAAGTATGACATTATACACCAATTCTCTGTAAAATGGAGCCAATAGCCAAATACATTTTGAAAAATACAGTCTTAACATTCTGTGAAATTTTATTAGGTTTTAACAGGTAACAACTCCTGGAACATGGTGTGCAAAAATCAAGAATAGGGAACACTCCCTTGGCCTGTTACAGTCTTATGAAGATACAGGCATCTTTTTTGTTTTGTAATCTACTAGATATCTCTGACAAATTGAATAACACAGATTGAGAAAAACATAAATGTAATTGCAGTATTGTTTATATTCCCTTTTAAGGAAGTACAACTTTCTCCATCAAAATCAATGGCAGTTGGTGGGATACAGCTTTTAACTTTGGAAAAAATACATCTCAAGAATGTAACGTTGAAAACTGAAATCGTGTAATCTACGCTACCACGATATGTAATCTACGTTACCACGATATGTAATCTATCTGGCCATATAGCTTCAGTCATTATAGTGTAACATGAAACAAAGATGTGGAAACTGAAGAACTACGAGAAACAAAACATGTTTGGTAATCTACGATACCCCTCATTGGTAGCTCTGTAGCTTACAATACACTGATTATCTTAAACTATTATAAAAAAATGGGCAATATGCATAGATGAAACAATACAAATAGATGCCATGGAAAAGTAACGAGGGATAGCATTGTTAGAGACTGTCCGATAATGTTAAGAATGTTCACTTTAGTGTACTTACGTTACAAAAGTCAAGACGGCTTTGAAATATAAACTAGCAAATTCATTGTTTAACATTAGCTGGATTTTGTATCACAAGTACTGTATTGTTGATAGGTATTTGTTGTATATGAAAAGAATGCATTGTAGTTGCCAAGTGGATCACATCACATCACAGAGTTTACATGTACGTGTACTTAGTACCACAGACACTCTCTGTGTATCATCTGTGACATATTACTGCATTTTGCTCCATCCTCTTGAAGCACTTGCCTCGCTATTGTCAGTTATTTCCAACATTTTATGTTGTATATTGATACATGTAGGTCACGTAGATTACATCCTTAACAAATAATTGAGAACAATGATTGGAAAGGCAACATACAAATTACACATCCCACAAAATCAATTCAAATGGACGGGTTTTTGTTTTACATAAATCAACTTGTGGGCAGTGTGTAGCTTGCTTCATAAATTGTTCATGAATACATGTCTGACAGCTGAGACCACCACACATGACTCTTTATTGAATGTGGGAACAAAACAGAAACTCAGCCCTTGTAAATAGAGAAAAGAGGGTCTCCACTGATTCACTTTAACAGTGTTCTGATGCCGATACTGATGTACGACTCAAGCAACGTGTGTCCCGACGTTGAAACTCCAGAGCAGTTCTGTTTAAAATACGGTAAAGCGACCATTTGCAACATCTCGTCTCTGCACCTCAAAGTATTCCAGTTCCCCTCAATCACAATCATTGGCGTTCCTGCTGCAGCTGTTATACAACCTAGATCATAACACCCCGCTTTCAATATGATCCCAGTCCCCCGCCGTGATATTGATGGAATATTGCTAAAAGCGGCTTAAAACTCACTCAACTCACTCAAAAATGATCGCAATCCTGAATACATGGCCTGATATGGCGTTCACCTGCACACCTGTAGACACTGTCCTGCTGATGAAGGAAAATTGTCTCATCGGTGAAGTAACACTTCTCCACTCGCGTGCTTCCCATCGCAAGTGTTGTCTGCCTCGCTGGAGCCGTCGACGTCGATGTTCTGGCGTCATAATTGGCCGTCGTGCTGAGCGTTCTGCACGAATTCCGTTGACGCTTATACATTGTGAACTGTTCCGGCAGATACTTTTCTGTTGTCAGGTATGGTACAGATTGCAAGGGCCGCTGGCTACAACCTGTGTCAGAGATGCGTGGTTCGAATCCATTGGGTCGTTACTGGTGGGAGGCCACAACGGGACAAGGTCTATAACTGCATCGTTTTTGTGAATACATCGCAATAAGTGCCGTGTTTTTATTGACGTTGCATTGACAAGCAGCGTCACGCTGCGAGGTGCCAGGCTGAAGCATACCGATACTCCATCTGTCATGTTATTCGAAGTGTGAGATGTCGAAACTGTTTCAGAACGATGAGAGGTGTTTTCCTGAAGTCTGCACTTCTGAAAACTGCATTGAATGGAAGTGATACACGTTTGTATGGCCTTTTAAGGTGAACAATGCGTCCTGCTTCTTGCAAATTTCGTGCAAGTCGAATAATAACTGCTTTGTTGCGTTTCCTTGACCATTTTCACGCACGCTTTCCCTCGTTCGAATCCAAAATGCTTTCACAAAATATCCAATAAACAAATACCATGTCACAATAACTTTTGCCTCTGAGTATATAAGCTGTCTCATCTTTATGTTTCTGTTATGATGCACTTTCAGCAACTGTATGCAGAACGCGTGATGTACGACAAAACAGATATGAAGAATGAAGCATACAACTTTATGGATAATAACTTGTTTACAGCATAATAACTTGTTTACAGCATAATAACTTGTTTACAGCATAATAACTTGTTTATAGCATAGAGCCACATTTCAGTGTATATTCTAACACCGTTATCAAGATAAGCGTCTTTCACGCTAAAAGTCTTTGAGCTTGATAACGGTGTAAGAATATACACTGAAACGTCGCTCTATACAGAGAAGAAGAAGTTGTCATCCATAAAAACGTCGCATTCTTTAATTGTTGACTCACAACTTCTAGAATGCCGATTAAACTGAAACAGATGTATGTGGAGTGAAAGGGCCTGGTTCGCGCTTGCTGATGGGGTTCATATGATTTTTGTTTCTATTGAAAATTAATATGTCTACTCTACTTCCTTATCGAACTCATTTACCTCACATAGTGAATACATTACGCCACAAACAAGTCTATTTAAACGATAAAGCATATTCCCCATTACCATCTCTCGGGGAAAACTAATTATAAAATATTTCCTTAAATTTCCACGATTGTTAATAACTTTATATTTCCTGTTTACATCTACATGCGACTCGCTTCAAGGACCTCGATACAAAAACTAGCATTGAATGGAACTTTCAACCACAACATACGGAAGAAAATATTCACAGTTGATGTCAGTGCGGTGTTTGCCGTTAAACATGCACGTGTAGGGTAGAGTGAGTGTGTGAATGAGTTGGTTAGTGAGTGAGTATAGTTTTACGCCACATGTTTGCAGTATTCGAAAATTAGCATAGCGGTGACACCAGAAATGGGCTTGACACATAGTACCCATGTTGGAAATCGAACCCAGGTATTCGGGGCTGACGCCAGGCTCAGAGAACGAGGGCATGGTGGGTGTATACAAATTGAAATGGTTAGTTAGTTAGTCTGAGGGCTATTCAAACAATGTCCAACATCAAAAAAGAACCCAGCGCCCAAACTGTTCACACAACATAGTTTTGACAACCATATTTCGAGAGATATTCAAGAATTCTATGCTCAAGTTTGAGAATAACATCGTTTGTCTATCCTGAGTATTTTACACGTGCACTGCGCTGTTTGTCGAATCGAGTTATTAAATGCATCCCGGGGACATGTTTACATTTCAAATACTACAAGGAACATTTTAAGTCAGTTAAGTCTTACTCGCACATGTTAATCGGCCTATCATCAGCAAACAGCGCCAAGCAAGATGAGAGTCATGTACTTTTGCCAAGGGCAATGACAGGGAAAGCAGGGGTGGAAATAACCCATTGCCCGACGCCCGAGTCCAGTGTTTTTTTCTGTCGGGTAAGCATATTTGTCTATCACACTGTACCGGTGTCCAGTTGACTTTCCAATCTTAATTATGTTGTTTATTTAATAAATCAACAATAACATCGGCCAGTATAGTGTAAAATTATCAGGGCAAGTGATTTTACTTGTGCCACTGTACCGGAGTACACTAATAATTTTACAGTTATTTCCAGCCCTGGAAAGGAATGTGTCTTGTCTCCAAGTAGCGATTCACGGTCAATTAATTACACGGTCAAGACGAGGAGTCATGATTTGTATCCCTAAATAATGTTGTAAATACCATGATTTATTTGAAATAGCTTACGGTTAGGGAGCTTTAAAATGAAAAGTTAAATGAATACATTTGCCATAAAGGCTAAACAATATAATAGTTCGTTTCGCAAGATTGTAAGCGCGTTTTTTTGTCATAAGTCCATTTCCATGTCATGCGGACTGACCGAGTTTTGGTTTTACGCCACTTTTAGCAATATTCCAGCAATATTACGGCGGGGGACACCAGAAATGGGCTTCACACATTGTGCCCATGTGGGCATTTGAACCCGGGTCTTCGGCGTGACGAGCCAACGCTTTAACCACTAGGCTACCCCAGCGCCCCCATGTCATGCGAAAAAGTAGGGTATTTTAATGAGTGAGTAAGTGAATATGATTTAGTAAACAGTATTCCAACTGGGAATTGATGCAATGTTTGACCTTTACCGCCTTTATAATACTCTCGAGCAAATGGTAGTACTGACGTACCTGGATACATAGGCAAGGCGAACCAGGATTGGAATAGACAATCATCGGTCCCAAGGGACATAACTCTGCACAGTGCATTGTCTGGCCACCCTGTACACCTACCTAGGTGTTGCACAAAACCTACACACACATCTCTTGAGTCTAGACAATTCTCAGGGACGTAGCTACCATTATACAAAAAGCCCGGGCTTATACATGACTGTTGCTAAAAAGGTTAGGCAAGCCCTCAATACTATCTAATGTAAAGCTTTGCAACATATCGGACTAACACGACAAAATTGGCTTGCTACAGGGCTGATTCTTGTTTAGTTTGGAAATGTGAGAAGTTAATACAAAACTGTATCCTGTCTGATTGTGTCTCAGCCTTGTTTCCTGAACACTGGCGACAGCATGGGTGAAAAGATGAAGATAACACTATTGAGCGAGTGCGTGAGTGAGTTTAGTTTTACGCCGCGCCCAGCAATATTCCATCTATATGGCGGCGGTCTGTAAATAATATAATCTGGACCACACAATCCAGTGATCAACAGCATGAGCATCGATCTACAAAAATGAGATACGATGATATGTGTCAACCAGGCCTGACCACCCGATCCCGTTTGTCGCCTCTTCGACAAGCATGGGTTACTGAAGATCAATTCTAACCCAGATCTTCACAGGACACAACCCTACTGAACACGAGGACACTGATTAAGCAACTCCTCCCTAATCGCTGCAATAAATCATAGTGGAATTGTGACATCAAACGTCTTGTCACCCTATGATATAATGCAGTCTATATTTTAGCCAGATAATTAGATGTGGGACTTAAATGTCTGCCGTCGTGGGTGCAACGTTGTGTTGATATCGACTTTACGCGCCATATTGAGGCCTACTTCCGTAAAAACATTGAAACATTTCTCAACGGTTGTAAAAACGTAAAACCAAAAAACCCACATCTATGAAATGAGTTATGACATGCTCTGTACTCACTATAAAATTAATGATCATACTTACGCGCGACTTTTATCTTTCTCACTCATCTGGGCTGGTTGTGTGTCATAGCTGCTGACGAGGTCGTGTCCCTGAGCAGCAGTGTATGTCGCTGTACCAGCGAGAATCAACAGGAAGACTCAACCATATTGTGAAACCAGAAATGTCCGCGTTTGATACAAACCATTGTGTTTAAATGAATGGGAATATTTGCATCATTGCATCATAACCGTTAACATCAAGCAGTTGGTAGACATGCACGATTTACCACACCAACAGTGTTAACCCATCTGTCAACAACGACAATACCGTGTATTTCGAATAAACCTTTGGCGGTACGGTAGTCGAGTGGTCACGGTGTCCCCGGCGAATGTCAGGGTTCGATTCCCTAAATCTGTGTTTTGTATGAAGTCCTTTTCTGGTCAGTGTTATAAATATAATGTTTGTGGTGAGTTACCTCAATGCTCCATCACGAAAGTATGTTAAGATGATTAGAGGCGGCGGGTACGCCTAGTAGTTAACGTGTTCGCTCGTCACGCCGAAGACCCGGGTTCGATTCCCCTCATGGGTACAATGTGTGAAGATCATTTCCCACGCTGATACATAGGCGGATCCAGAAATTGTCAAGGGGTGTGGGGTGGGTTGTGTGTGTCTGAGTGTGTGTTACGAACCCCCTGAACCCCACCTTGGCTTCGCCATTGCTAAACATTAAGTTCGATGTGGTCTTTAGTCATTTACAAGGGGGGTGGGGGAGGGAAGAGGGGGGCGAACCCCCTGAACCCCACTCTGGATCCACCACTGCTGATATATTGCTGGTATATTGCGGCGTAAAACTCAACTCACTCACTCACTGTTAACAGGAAATTTAATGAAACGAATTATGAATCAGATCACCATTTGGTTACTGCAGTATGCAGCTCAATACTCACTGAACATTACTGTACCCGTTCTCTAATGAAGCCATAGTTTTGTAACTTTGTCTCCAATGATTTGGTGTTGGCCTATCATAAACGCCTGAAGAATTGTCAGCTACAACATAAATTGACCAAGCTCACACAGACGATCTCACACTTCATACATGTTCTCTAACATAACGCTGCCAGACACAGTAGAACACATCGTCGAACAACTGATTTGTAGTGTAATAGGTTCAGCTTTGGCTCTAGGTCATCGTGCTTTTATCCACAGAAAATCCAATATGATTATTGTGAATGGATGAATGATATTCCACACACACAGGCTCATGGACATAATCAGACAGAAGTAGGTCTTTTGTTTTAAGGAATGCCGATTTATGAAAATAATATGAATTATTATTCATAATATATTTACTATTTCATATAAACATTTGACAATTTAATGACACACCTATCCAACGGGGACAATGGCCCAATAATCCTTCATTGGCTTCTTGTTGTTCTTCTATGGGAGAGAGAACTTTCAGTGCTGCTGCACCAGCTTTGTGGAACTCTCTGCCAGTTGAACTGAAAACAGTCTCTTCAATGAAAACATTTTGGAGCAAACTAAAAACTCATCTATTACAAGCGTCCTACAAGTTTCTCCTCTTTCTCTGCACAGCGCCCCTGAGCAGCACTGGTTGGACATAAGGCGCTTAAACACAGTGATGCATTATTATCATTAAGTGTAGGGCAGGGCCATCTTGTTCCACCATCTTGTTCCAAGCAAACCAAGGATTTGAATGACTTCTTGAGATTGCTTCCATGAAACAGAGACGTTTAAAGTTTATTTACGTGAAATAGCAGCTGTCGCATTTCTTTACTTTTCCACAGTTTGAAAAGTAAGTTTCATGTGCTAGGCCTTAGCCATAATGACCTTCAGTACCAGTGCTTGTCGTAAGAGGTGACTAAACGGGCCGGATTGTTGGAATCGTTGATTTATTTTCGTTGATAACATCGATGTTCATGATGTAAATCACTAGTTTGTGTGGGCCACAAACGATTATTTTTACACTCCCGTCATACAGCTGAAATATTGTTGTGGGGTAGCCCAGTGGTTAAAGCGTTCAATCGTCACGCCGAAGACCCGGGTACGCTTCTCCACATGTGTACAATGTGTGAAGCTCATTTCCGGTGTCCCACGCCACCTGGAATATTGCTAGAAACGACGTAAAACTAACTAGCTCAATCACTGTTTCAGGTGTAAACTGACTCGCTATCCAAGTATTTGGACAAAGTACACTCAAATTTCCTGTCACCACTATTTCATGGCGATTGACATACATGTGCACGTTACATAAATATGAAGCACTGTGAGAAAATGTTACTTAGGATTAGGTTAGGGTAGGTAACCTCCAACTCTTTCCGATCCCCTCTGCGATCCCTCAGGATCATGAGGTTTAGGTACTCGTCTCCGATCAAACTGTCATTCACAATCCGTAATGTTTGATTCCTGAAGAGGGGCGGTGGGGTAGCCTAGTGGTTAAAGCGTTGGCTCGTCACGCCGAAGACCCGGGTTCGAATCCCCACATGGGTACATTGTGTGAAGCCCATGTCTGGTGTCCCCCGCCGTGATGTTGCTGGAATATTGCTAAAAGCGGCGTAAAACCAAACTCAGTCAGTCAGTCAGTGATTCCTGAAGACCAAAAACGTGCGCCCTATGAAGTGTACTACTCCCAATATAGCGGTATCTAATGGAATAATTATTACATGTTTATATCATGCGTTAAATGGCTCGGTTACAAATTAGTACATGAGGTATCAAGTCGACAGTTTGTCTACCTCAAATTTCAAACCAGTGATATTGTCTCCTGATATTATGTTTCATGAAACTTTGCTGGTGTTATTTTCACTGAAATGACTGGCCAGGCTTACATCCAGTCGTTCACAACGGTGACGTAAGTACTCTCTCTCACTCACTCACTCACTCACTCACTCAACCGATCCCGTTATTCGACAAGCATAGGTTACTGAAAATCAATTCTAACCATCACGGGCAGTCGAAGTTAGAGATACTGATGAGCACGGGTAGTCGAAGTTAGAGACACTGATGAGACAGTATGATATCTGAAATATTGGTCTGTTTGGTTAAAACAATAAAATCTAATTGTTTATGAATCGATAAGTCACGTGGTTATCGCCGTCCTGTATTTTGAATAACTTTCGGGTTTTCTTTGGTTACCGACATTCCAGACTGGTGATTATCGGGAATCGACGTTTATTATCAACTAAGACAAATTGACCTTCTCAAATCCGTACTTGTGACTGAGTGACTATTATTATCAGTTGAGTGTTTACTGACAGCGTGTAGCATTTATTTCCATTTAATTGCTTGTCTCCGGGATGTAATGAGGTGTTTATAAATACTGTCTTGTTATCTATCTTTTACAAGGGACAAACCACGATGTGCTATCCGTCGAAAATGACTTATGGTAAATCACGATGTGCTGGCTGTCTAAAACGACTTATGATAAATCACGAGGTGCTTTCCGTCAAAAATGACTTCTGGTAAATCACGATGTGCTATCCGTCGAAAATGAATTATGGTTAATTACGAGGTGCTATCCGTCGAAAATGACTGATGGTAAATTACGAGGCGCTATCCGTCGAAAATGACTGATGGTAAATTACGAGGTGCTATCCGTCGAAAATGACTGATGGTAAATCACGATGTGCTGGCTGTCTAAAATGACTTATGGTAAATCACGAGGTGCTTACCGTCAAAAATGAGATATGGTAAATCACGATGTGCTATCCCTCGAAAATGACTGATGGTAAATTACGAGGCGCTATCCGTCGAAAATGACTGATGGTAAATTACGAGGTGCTATCCGTCGAAAATGACTGATGGTAAATCACGATGTGCTGGCTGTCTAAAATGACTTATGGTAAATCACGAGGTGCTTACCGTCAAAAATGAGATATGGTAAATCACGATGTGCTATCCCTCGAAAATGACTGATGGTAAATTACGAGACGCTATCCGTCGAAAATGACTGATGGTAAATTACGAGGTGCTATCCGTCGAAAATGACTGATGGTAAATTACGATGTGCTATCCGCCGAAAATGACTGATGGTAAATTACGATGTGCTATCCGTCGAAAATGACTTACGATAAATGTAAAACGTAAACGCAAGAGAATAATCAGTCTCGATTTTCTGCCAAAACGGTCTCTATTGATTGTAAAAGGAAAAACAATAGTACATGAATGACTCAATGAAAATCACTGATGACATCGGGTATGACTAAACGCGTGAGCATATCCAGCTCTACATAAAACACTGAAACAATTTACATTAAAATGTAAGTGTATTTTCTCCCAACCCACACAGCGTCATACCAAATGACGTTAAAATATGGTACTTGTTGGTCCCTGTCTGGCGCTCGTCATTAATGGGTACAACAAGGACTGGTCGGCTCGGAGTCAGTATAATGTGTCTGAGTGGGGTATTCATGCTTCACTGCGGCATGGTATCTCAGTGGGCTAGCACTATAAAACCAGCTTAAGTCTGGGCTAGTACAAGCAGCCGCACGTACACATACACACGCATGCACGTCGTCATATGAGCGAACTATTCTCAAGCACGACGTTAAACCCAATTTCACCTCACCTCACCCAATAAAGTGGCCGGGAACAAGATTTGAAAAGGCCAACAATGCGGTGAAAAGATTGGAGCAAGGCGTTCGAAAATTGACAGTTTCGTTAAAATGTCAGGACCACCTGACCTAAAGGATGCTATCATCGGAATTCCGCGCGAATACTTGCGGAAAGTGTACCAGGAAATAGATAAGCAGATACCCTTCTGTGTATATATATCGAGCTCCTAGATACACACTGAAGAATCTGGGATAATATCATGTTATTGTTTCATGTCTTTGTGGCACTGCAGCTGTATGCAAAAGTCATGTAATGTAGAGAGGTACACCCTGTTTTGTTGCTGTCGTTTTTAACATCTCTATCTGATATCAACAACTCCAAAGAGCTACTTTACGTGGTAAATTTACACCATTGGTCAAATCAGCCCTACCCGCTAATAACGAATCAAAATATTGTTACCAGGTTTTGTTTCTAAACAAGACTGGAATCGAGACATAAATGTATTGGGAATTTGATATTTCTTACATGCTTAGGTTGCATTTACAGACTGAATTTTGGATTTTAAACATGGGTCGGATACGAAACGTTTTAAGCCTGTAACATATAATGGAAGAAGGAATTTTCGAGAGCACCAGGTGTCTTCACTGATTTTCACTGATCGATTCATATCATTTTCACAGCTAAATTCCCTTTGCACTAAACGGAATGTTTGTATGATGATAGTCAAAACTGCGTGACTGTGTATTTCCTGGCGCTGATGCTCTATTTTTATCCTGCGAACACATTCTGAAGTGTGTAAGTGAGTGAGTGAGTTTAGTTTTAGGCCACACTCAGCAATATTCCAGCTATATGACGGCGGTCTGTAAATAATCGAGTCTGGACCAGACAATCCAGAGATCGACAGCATGAGCATCAATCTACGCAATTGGGAACCGATGACATGTGGCAGCGAGCCTGACCACCCGATCCCGTTAGTCGCCTCTTACGAAAAGCACGGTTTACTGAAGATCAATTCTAACCCGGGTCTTCACGGGTTTGGAGTGTGTAAGGGTAAAGTTGTAACGGGCACATAAATATGGATCATATTCAGTGCCAATCAGCGGATCCTTCACGTCTAAGTGACGTAGTTCTGTGAGTCATACATATGTAGGCTTGCATACAGTCAACATTATTTGTGTGACGAATACATGGATTTCTGTTTGTTTCAATTGAAATTCAAATACAAGTATTATAGCATTCATCAGCCTGCTTATGTAACGGCAGTTTTGGAATCTTCCAAGAAAAAGAGAGTGGAAATTCTCAGTAATGATTTAATCAATTACATAATATCATGATAATGACATTTAGATTTAATTTGAGATATACAAGTATTATTTACATGATATCAATAGGCATTCTATCAGCAGCAGCTGATATGTACCAAAATAAACTAACGATTTACATATGGACAATCAGGCAAACATAGATGACTATTAGTGAATTTTGTGCTAGTTATTCTGACCGGATGGTAACAACTTAACAAGTTTCGTTAAAGTAAACACTAGAATTAGTTTATACGGAAATTGTTACATGACGTAACTAGCTATATTTCAAACAATTTCAAGTATACGTCTTTAATACTCAGGCGAACGATATGACCTATCTTTTACAAAAAGAGAAAACCTAAACAGATATTAGGTAACAGACTCGGCCAAATAAGTTGCCATGTTGTGAACTGTTCGGCTCTAGTAGATTTGAAATGTCGATCAGCCCAAATGGTTTCTAGACTGCAGAGTTCCCCTGAAGTTAACATAGTATGGAGTTATACACGGCCTGGGAGTACTGACTTGTACTGGGAAATGTTTGTGCCGAGGTGGCAGACTCGGAATATCTAAGGCCCGATGTTTTGGACAATCTTGAAATTCCCGAGACAATATTTTCACTTCTTCCTCTCTATGCACGTGTAATGGTGGTACATTGTCGGGATTCATATCATTGACAGTACGTGGTGAGTTGAGACTCGAGATCCTCTTGCCCAAAGCTGCGAGATCGAGTTGGTTGAGATCAACGTCCTCCTGCGGAGGGGAACACTCAGCGTCTGATGGAGCTGCACGAAGACCAGGCCTGGGTGGGCTGTCCACAGACAGCTTTATGACGGGACTGTTCACAATGTTTGCAAATGACGGCTCCAATGTTTGTTTCAAACCTTCTGGTTTATTTAGGATCTTGATATCTTTGTCTGTGTCCCCTGCCACACAGACTCCCTTTGGTGGGCAACACCGTGGCAGCGTCCTCTGCACGGGCGTGATATAAATGTCTGTGTTCATGTTTGACCAGCCGGACGTGTGAGCCGGGAACTGACTGAAATCATTTTGAGACTCAAAAACGGAGTCTAAACTGTCATCGGAGCCTGTGTTCTGTGACTGAGAAAATGACACGCTTTGTGTGGACTGCCTAGTGATACAGTCCTCCTTGTCCGAATCTCTGCTCCTCGGAACGGAACCAGAGCTGCCTTGCACGGACCGACTGTTGAGACTTGTCTTATTGTTTGTGACAGCATTGCCAGCATCCTCAGCGCAACGACCGCTTGCGACATCTTTAACTTGCTTACGACTTGACTTGTGATGCCGGTGTTTTGGTTTAGTAACTGTAGTCGGTGTCTCTCCTTTCGTCATCCAGAACGTGGGAGATGGTTGTGAGGAATTATGTCGATCTGGTTCACATCCACATGTACCGTAGGTATCATTTGATATCCATTTTCCGAAGCGAGGATTTGACTTTCCCATCTTAAGCAACAGAGATGAAGCCGATGTACACTTTAAGGATCCAAATTTGCAGACAGGCTTTGGTGTACAGTCCTCGTCATTACGTGCCGTCCGTTTTGACACATTGTAACGAATTCTGAAATAGGCAGTTTGATATGTTATGACTAGAACATATTATCATTGTAAATGTTTTATAATTTTAATGAAAAGTTCAAATGGAAATCTCTATCATTTATCATAGCTGAAATTATGCAATTATCATTGAAAATGTTTTATAATTGTAAAGAAAAATTCAAATGGAAAACTCTATCATTTATCATAGCTGAAATTATGCAATTATCATTGTAAATGTTTTATAATTTTAAAGAAAAATTCAAATGGAAAACTCTTTCATTTATCATAGCTGAAATTATGCAATTATCATTGTAAATGTTTTATTATTTTAAACTGGCTGAAGGAATGTATGCGACACACTTTGGTTGTGTGAAACTTCGCTATGTATCACAAAAACTTCAAAATATATTTTAAAGGTAGACCAATTAGATCATTCTGCTACATCTGTGCTACAAGTGTCCTGATCACAATAGGTCGCCAGTACCACATGCCTATTAACATGGTGATTTATGTTTATAGTTACAGACATCAACATCCATATGTATGATTGACAGTCATGTTTATGATCAATGATTAGGAACATCAGGTACATGTTTATAGTTCACTGTTATAGACATCCATTCGTATTATAGTGCATGGTTTTAAACATCAACACCCGAGGTTATATCATTTGGTTATAAGTACAGTAATCAAAATACATAATACTAGTCTATATTTACAAATATCGCCTCCCATATTTATAGAACATGATCACAAATATCAGCTCCCACGTTTATAGCATATGATTACAAATATCAGCTCCCGCATTTAAAGTATATGGCTACAAATATCAGCTCCCACATTTAAAGTACATTGTTACAAAGATCAGCTTGCACATTTAAAGTATATATTCAGCTCACACTTTTACAAATATCAGCCATTTAAATTTACAAATATCAGTATATGGTTACAAATATCAGCTCCCACATTTTAAAATATATATTGTTACAAATATCAGCTACACACTTTTCAAGTATATTTTTTACAAATATCAGCCCCCCCATTACAAATAAGCAAATGGTTACAAATATGTTACAAAGCTCCCACACTTTTAAAGTATATTGTTACAAATATTATTCTATGGTTACAAATAAATATTACAAATATCAGCTTTTAAAGTATTGTTATTGTTACAAATATCAGCTCCCCCATTTAAAGTATATGGCTACAAATATCAGCTCCCACATTTAAAGTATATGTTTACAAATATTAGCTCCCACATTTAAAGTACATGTATATTGTTACAAATATCAGCTCCCCCATTTAAAGTATATGGTTACAAATATCAGCTCCCACATTTAAATTATATGGTTACAAATATCAGCTAACACATTAATAGTATATAGTATTTCGCCCATCGCCCACTTGTTTTTGAGAGGGCGACAATGCGACATAGCGACAATGTTCCTTCTCGGATTCCATAGTAACGTGTGTCAGGCTCGCTGACTTGATTGTGGCTTGTCATGCTGTTCCAACTGACAGACAGGCAGGAGGAATGCATCTCAACCCTGCGCGATAGCTCTCATCATAACAAGTTCACAAGTCTAGCCCCGTTTGTCGTAAGAAATGATTAACGGGATCGGGTGGTCATGCACCCATTCATTTTTTATTGGCATTTCCACTAAAAATACTAAGTTATCAATGCCATCGGGTGGTCAGACTCACTGACTTGGTTGACACATGTCATCACATCCCAATTGCGTAGATCGATGCTCCTGTTGTTGATTACTGGATTGTGTGGTCCAGCCGCGAAGATTTACAGATCGCCGCCATATTGCTGGAATATTGCTGAGTCCGGCGTTAAACAACACAACAACAAACACAAACAAGTGTAGTCAAGAAATAATGTTTTACGCCCTCACTAACAAAAACAAAAGATAAACACAATACTCCGAACCCATCCTAAATTGCGTGATGACAGCACTCACCTGAAGCATGACGCCATAACGCCTTGTCTAGCTGAGACTAGAGTTTATCACGAACGAGTTACATTTGATTTGTTGTTGAGGAAATCAGGCATTAGGTCATGGTTTCGATTTCTCCCTGAAGTTAGATACGCCTTATACATAATTTCTCTGCTAATTTTAACCCGGAAAAATTAATGACATGTTTAAGCGGAAAATATATTTTTAAGCTTTAACTTGAACGTTGAGTTGAATCAAAGTTTACAGCTTATCGCGTGCCTGATCGATATGATATGGTATACGTACCATGAGCATCGTGTTTATGAGTCACTATCGAATACGTACCATGAGCATGTGTTAATGAGTCACTATCGAATACGTACCATGAGCATGTATTTATGAGTCACTATCGAATACGTACCATGAGCATGTGTTTATGAGTCACTATCGAATACGTACCATGACCATGTGTTAATGAGTAACTATCGAATACGTACCATGAGCATGTATTTATGAGTCACTATGGAATACGTACCCTGAGCATGTGTTTATGTGTCACTATTGAATACGTACCATGAGCATCGTGTTTATGAGTCACTATCGAATACGTACCATGAGCATGTGTTTATGAGTCACTATCGAATACGTACCATGAGCATCGTGTTTATGAGTCACTATGGAATACGTACCATGAGCATCGTGTTTATGAGTCACTATGGAATACGTACCATGAGCATGTGTTTATGAGTCACTTTCGAATACGTACCATGAGCATCGTGTTTTTGAGTCACTATCGAATACGTACCATGAGCATGTGTTTATGAGTCACTATCGAATACGTACCATGAGCATGTGTTTATGAGTCACTATCGAATTGTGATAATGTAAGGCGTATCTTTCCCTGAAAAGTAACAGTCACCGGAAAAATCATTAATATCAAATAGTGATCATACCAGGTGTTTGCGAAAAGGTGTACCCTGTCCCACCGATGCCATACGTCATAAACACATGCAAAGGCTAGTCAACTGTTCATCTGAAAAAAAGGGAACACATGGTACAGGTCAGAATAGGGATTGCCACTTCTGTCAGTGACGTACACTGATGTACATTTACCATAAACTTTACTGAGGCGCTCAATGCTGTAACGTTAACTAAACCACTACAGCTTACACAGAACGACATTAAAGTATGTCGCTGAAAACTAGGGCTGCAACGATTCACCCAGGCCTCAATTCGATTCGATTTTCGATATTGGACCCTCGATTTGATCATTTTCGATTCAATTCTTCATACAAGTAAAGGGCGGTGGGGTAGCCTAATGGTTAAAGCGTTGGCTCGCCACGCCGAAGACCCGGTTCGAATCCCCACATGGGTACAATGTGTGAAGCCCATTTCTGGTGTCCCCCGCCGTGATGTTGCTGGAATATTGCTAAAAGCGCCGTAGAACCAAACTCAGTCAGTCAGTCATACAAGTAAAAAACATCAGATTTCACTTAACTCTCAGAGTCGGTTTGTTTAGCGTGAAATCCATTGTCAACTTGGCGATGTCTACTAACCACAATTCTCAGTGGATAATTAGCCCGGCGTCAACCAATCACGTTTCGCCTAATTTCAGCGCTCGAAGCTGCTCGAGTTGGAGTCAAAATTACGTTTTCATTGTTTGGAAATTTAATAGGTATTCAAATATCGAATCGAAATAGTGATACTGGATATCGAAAATCGAAACTAAGGTGTCTCATTCGATTTTCGAATAATCGAACCGAATCGTTGCAGCCCTACTGAGAACTATTATTCAAATACTTGTGTGTGTTTGTCAGTGCGCGTGTGCGTGTGCGTGTTGAAGTAATGTGATATTTTGTTGTTGATCCTCAAGTAACATGTTGTGATAATGATAGAATTAAAGAAAAAATAATTACATTAAAAGACGTAGTGACCACACTAGTGGCTAGTGTGTGAGCATTGTTTAATGAAGCTTTAAAAGGTTTGCAGGTATTTGCCACCATCCAACTTGCGCAGCATAACATATATATTGAAACCTCATCACTCCCGATCCTGTTGGGAACATGCTTACATCTTCAAAGCGTTCATATCAAATTCGTTTATCCAGTATTTGCTAATCCGCACGATTGGACTGGAGGTGAGGTGAGGTGAAATGGGGTTTAACGTCGTACTTGAGAATATTTCGCTCATATGACGACGTGCATGCGTGTGTATGTGTGTCTGTTTGGACTAGCCCAGGCTGAGGCTGGTTTTATAGTGCTAGCTCACTGAGATACCATGCCGCAGTTAAGCATGAATACCCCACTCAAACACATTATACTGACTCCGAGTATGACGCAGCCGGGGATTGAACCTGCGACCTTCCGCTCTCCGGGTGGACGCTCTAACCACTATACCACGGAGGCGGTACTGATGGCAATGGATATTTTTCCTGATTATCCTGATTTAAAAACTAAGAAAGTATACAGTTGAACACTGGATTTGACCAAACAATTGAATGTTATCTAAACGTTAGCTATAGGCGGAAAACGGGAGCCGAAACACTGACACTCAAGGTCCAAAACAACACTGCGGTACCCGTATCAAATACCTGATCAACTATTTCTATTTGTGTCATTTCAGCCTCCATCAGGCATGGATGTATTGGGATTTATTTGCCCGGTTGTGTATTTGTGGTTGAGTATTTAAGTGATCAGCGTTCAACAATTCAGGCAACAGTTTTATCGCTGCAGCTTCCGTAAGCCTATGCTGGCCCATAGGAGTAACGCGCGTCTCAGATCGCTTTGTGAAACTGGACCCAGGTTGGCAGGCCCTGTTTGAGGTGAGGTGAGGTGAAATTGGGTTTAACGTCGTGCTTGAGAATATTTCGCTCATATGACGACGTGCATGCATGTGTATGTGTATGTGCGGCTGCTTGTACTAGCCCAGACTTAAGCTGGTTTGACAGTGCTAGCCCACTGAGAGACCATGCCGCAGTGAAGCATGAATACCCCACTCAGACACATTATACTGACTCCGAGCTGACCAGTCCTTGTTGTACCCATTAATGCCGAGCGCCAGACAGGGACCAAAAGGTACCATATTTTAACGTCTCCGGGCGGACGCTCTAACCACTATACCACGGAGGCGGTCGCCCTGTTTGAAGGTGAGGTTATCTGCGAATAATAGGCATAAACTACTTGGAAATACAATCAGGTCACGAGAGAAGGAGCCCAGCTCCCCTCTTGAATGTTTGCTGTAAGTCCCATGTAATCAACGGGAGCAACTGGGTATAGTGAGTGAGTTTGGTTTTACGCCGCTTTTAGCCATATTCAAGCAATATCATGGCCGGGGACACCAGAAATGGGCTTCACACATTGTACCCATGTGAGGATTCGAACCCGGGTCTTCGGCGTGACGAGCGAACGCTTTAACCACTAGGCTACCCCACGTCCCCCCAATGGGGTATAGACTACACATGTTTATGGACAACGTGGACCTCCTCAGCTTCACTTTCACTTCTTCTTAATAGCCGTAGCACCAACACGACTTAATGGAGTGAGTGAGTTTGGTTTTACGCCGCTTTTAGCAATATTCCCGCAATATCACGGCGGCGGACACCAGAAATGAGCTTCACACATTGTACCCATGTGGGGAATCGAACCGGGTCTTTGGCGTGACGAGCGAACCCTTTAACCATCAGGCTACCCCACCGCCCCAAGACTTAATGGAAGTTTGCCCTTATCGCCAATAGGGTCATGAAAAGAAAATATATGTAATCCTTTTGCATACAATCCAAATACATGCTTGTTGTTGATGAGCATTTAAATATATTATATCCACGTTTGTTGTAGGTATTTGATTGAAAGGATATATGAACTTCAAATCTAGAATCTAGATCTACAGGAACCGTTATGGGCCTGTCGTTCTCCGGGTACCACAGCTAGTCACGGCTGGCTTGGCACATTCGGTTCCTTAGACAAAGGTGTTGTCATACATTGTGTACATGCAAGTGTCTATCGTAATAAGATCACGTGTAACCATACACGGATACGCTTCTAAAGCAATCGGGATACATCAGGTAATGATAGGTAACGTCTATTCAGAGTTCTTGTCAAAAGACGGTTCTCGATGTCTCATCGAAAATTGTGTTTAAATGTGATTTAATATACGAAATGTTCAAAGTAAGATGTTAAAAGTTGAAACAGGAAAGGCAGATGCAACTGTTCTCAGAATAGACCTTACATGAGACAGGAACTACATTGCTAGTTTGTTATGCTTATAATTTACTGCACATCTGACAAATGCCTGACTTTCAAACAAATCATGAAGATCCAGGTTAGAATTGATCTTCAGGAACTAGTAAGACAAACTGGATCGGATGGCCAGGCCCGTTGACTTGGTTGAAACGTCATCGTATCACAGTTGCGTGTCGATGCTCATGATATCAGCCTGTGGTTTGTGTGGTCCAGGCTCGATCACTGACAGACCGCCGCCAGCTGGGATAACGTACCGCGCAGAGTAGAACAACAAATAAACACACTTCCGAACACAAACATTTGACTCCGGAAACTCTTCACAATGATCACAGCAAATTAACCTGCATCCATTAGATATCAGTATTGGATCGCGTAGCCTACAATACTTTTCTTCACAACAGATGTACGTCAGAAAGTGGGGTCTTGTGAGGCCAGTGTGATTCATTTGAAATGTTCCACAAACAATTCGTGAAAATGTATTGTTGGGGCACTGATAATATACACTAAATATCAATAACTTACTGTCCACTGCCCTCCATCTCTTACTTAAGACTGAGGAAAACTACCGTATTACCTCTAATAAGTGACCGAGCGCTTATTTATTCAGCAAACTCTCAGACCCAACGCTTCATAGGGGCCGACGCTTATTGGAGACCCGGCGTTTACAGTTTCAACGGAAATAGATTCTCCAGTGGTATTTTATTTAAAGACTCCGTTGTAAACATGTGGCACAAACGGCACTTAGAGGAGACCCGGTGCTTATAGGAGACCCGGCACTTATTGGTGACCCGGTGCTTATAGGAGACCCGGCCCTTTTTGGAGACCCGCTTATTGGAGACCCGGTGCTTATAGGAGACCCGGCATTTATTGGAAACCCGGTGCTTATAGGAGACCCGGCACTTATTGGATACCCGGTGCTTATAGGAGACCCAGTGCTTATTGGAGACCCGGGACTTATTGGAGACCCGGTGCTTATAGGAGACCCGGCACTTATTGGAGACCCGGTGCTTATAGGAGACCCGGCGCTTATAGGAGACCCGGCCCTTTTTGGAGACCCGGTGCTTATTGGTGACCCGGTGCTTATAGGAGACCCGGCACTTATTGGAGACCCGGTGCTTATAGGAGACCCGGTGGTTATAGGAGACCCGGCACTTTAGGAGACCCGGCACTTATTGGAGACCCGGTGGTTATAGGAGTCCCGGCACTTATTGGAGACCCGGTGCTTATAGGAGGAAATACGGTATATCATATAGTGTGGACTTCCGGAAAAGTTCATTGTGCACAGTTCATTGTGTAGAGCTATCACGGACATGAACAAGAAGAGCTACATCCCACAATCATAACAACTCTTTGGCAGTGCCGATGAATCAATTTCCTGAAATGTTATATGTCCTCCCGATGTCGACAAAGAGCGCAAGCTAAAACATTCTGTATGTCCACAGTGGTTGTCAGGTGGATGAGGGCCGCTCTTGTTAATGATTTCTTCATTACAAGCAGTCAGGTTTAACTGCGCTGCTGTTGGTTTAGTTTGAATGTGCAGGGATAGAGCAGTGGCGGTAATGTCATAAAGAGGAATATAGTGGTGTGTACAAAACACACCGATCCATTCATATACACCCTGTAGAGCCCCATTAACGTCCGGAAGACGAGCCCACGGAAACATCAGGTTGGTGACAAAGAATCCAGATAACCCATCCTTTGTGAAGCTTCCTTTACGCGACCATTGACGCGCTTCTAAACTGTTCTCCAACTCAACTCCTCTTTCCAGAAGTACATCGGTTCGTTTGCCAAGAACAGCAAATGGTTTCTTATCAGTGGCATGCTGATCTCGAATGAATGCTTGGAAGGTCGATACAATGCTTTCGTCGAACAACGTGTCACCAGTAGCAAAAGCAAGTAGTGGAATCCTTTTGCCGTAGAGTACTGCGATGTCGTAGAACATAGACCTCAAAGTCGGGGTTGGGTTGGGACTGCAGCTTCGCTCGGTGACATTATGAGAATGCCAGCCGTGTAACAAAGCCTCAGTCTTTGCATCTGGGTCTGATGTGAGCAGTACTGGGAGAACATCAGGTTTCAACCAGTTCCAGTTCCTCAGAACATTTCTCCTCACTATGTCATTGGCAGCATGACTGTCCCAGGTCGTAAACAGAAGCAGTATGGGTTTACCAGTCTTATGTGACCGTTTCTGTTCGGCAAAGAGGCTTGAAACCTGGGTAAGATTCCGCAGGTTTGTATTGGCCAGGTTGAGCTCTGCTGGTCCGGTGTCATCTGATGCTGTGTCCAAACGGTGTTCGTCCATGGCGTAGTACTCACTGAGAGACGTTACAGCCATAATGAACACCTTGCTGTGGTGGATATAGCGCCCTACCAGTATCAGGAGGGCCGCGGAGAGAAGGCCGTACATCAGAGGCTTACGAAACATTACGACGTTCATCTTTGGGAGACCCGCTAAGGTTTATAACCGTTGTGCAGGAAGAAAATCTGAAAGAGGGAATGGATTTGTGAATGTTATAAGCGACGCATTCATTATTGTAGATATATCACGCTGAAAAATTGACCCGATTACCACTTAAACAAGAGGATCGACCAACGCCATAGAGACACGATGTCACACAATTTCAACGAGTCTGGCCAAGGATGTGGTCCAGTGTACCTGGAACTCAGCTGTTGGAGTTATTCCACACTACACAGTATGCATATACAATCCTTTATGTCCATAGACATTGTTGCACCATTGCCGATGCTACAAAAACAGGCCTGTTCAAAAACTTGGATCATTACTGAAATTATACTGCAGACCCATATACATGCACATAAGTCTCGTTGTTATACAATGTACACAGCACATTGCCATGTAGTACAATGTACACAGCACATTGCCATGTAGTACAATGTACACAGCACATTGCCATGTAGTACAATGTGCACAGCACATTGCCATGTCATACAATGTATACAACACATTGCCATGTAGTACAATGTACACAGCACATGGCCATGTATTAAAAGGTACACAGCACATTGCCATGTTGTACAATTTACACAGCACATTGCCATGTTGTACAATGTACACAGCACATTACCATGTAGTACAATGTACACAGCACATTGCCATGTAGTACAATGTGCACAGCACATTGCCATGTTGTACAATGTACACAGCACATTGCCATGTAGTACAATGTGCACAGCACATTACCATGTAGTACAATGTGCACAGCACATTGCCATGTTGTACAATGTACACAGCACATTGCCATGTAGTACAATGTCCACAGCACATGGCCATGTAGTACAATGTACACCACACATTGCCATGTAGTACAATGTACACAACACATTGCCATGTAGCACAATGTACACAACACATTGCCATGTAGTACAATGTACACAACACATTGCCATGTAGCACAATGTACACAACACATTGCCATGTAGTACAATGTACACAACACATTGCCATGTAGCACAATGTACACAACACATTGCCATGTAGTACAATGTAAACAACACATTGTCACGCAGTACAATGTACACAACACATTGTCATGAAGTGCAATGCAAGTATTAATAACATATTGCAGACCAACACATTGTCATAAAACACAAGGAAGACAGCGCATTGTCATGCAAAACAGTATCTATAACACATCTCAGACCAACAAATTGTCACACAACACCGCCCTATTCAAACCAATGCAAGCAACAGCGTTGCCATAGATATGATATATACAACAGTTATTTGTCTGGAATATGAGTACATCTACAATGGTGAAACCGATAATTATACGTCAATTACGTCAACTTTCAATTAGTTGTCAGAGGAACTACTTATGCAATCTGGAGATCGATTTACTGTATGATATTATACTAAAGTTGCGTAAGAGCACTACAGTACATACCTTCAGCAGAATACTATCCACGGTTCTCAGTGAAGATGTAAGCAACGTCGTTTGATTTGAGACCTGTCCCTCAAATCTACAGTGACGTGGCCTCACCTGACGTGGCTAGAGTCGGGTTGGGGTAGAAAGACTCACCCATGCTAACATCGAGCCACTGAAAGATTACAGATTTCCACAGCTAGGAAGTGAGAGCAAGCACATTGGGAATAAGGTTCGTGACTCTCAATTTCAGAAGGCTGGTATGGGTAGACATATGAGTAGACCTTCCCCGGGGTGAATCTACCCTGATCATCTCTGAATAATCTAGGGAGTGTAAAGTCGTCGACTTAACTGCTTTTCGTGAAAACAGTGGGCGGTGGGGTAGCCTAGTGGTTAAAGCTTTCGCTCATCAGGCCGAAGACCGGAATTGAATTCCCCGAAATGTGTGAAGCCCATTTCTGGTGTCCCCCGCCGTGATATTGCAGACTTATTGTCAAACCCAGCGTCATACCACACTTACTCACTCACTCGTTAACACAGTTCTGTATACAGCTCCTGAAGACTTTAAGAATGTTTATCAAAGAATTGGAACGACTGACTGTCTGACTGAGTTTGGTTTTACGCCACTTTTAGCAATATTCCAGCAACATCACGGCGGGGGACACCAGAAATGGGCTTCACACAATGTACCCATGTCGGGATTCGAACCCGGGTCTTCGGCGTGACGAGCCAACGCTTTAACCACTAGGCTATTCCACCGCCCCTGAATTGGAACGGGTGACCAAAGATGGTTCACAAAAACAGTACCATGCAGAGTACATTATCAAATGTATATATGGTGCTTCTGAAACTCGTGTCTCACTATAAACCTAGCTAAAACAAGTACATGTATATTTGTTTGATTAATATTTTTCTTTCGTGTTAAAAACGTCCTCAAATATTCTGTCTTCACGAAAAACAAAGCTCTGCTTGAAAGTGGCTGTATTTTTATCATTCAATCATTTAGATGGAGTGTCTGTCGCCAACACAAAGAGCGTTTGAACCATCTGCTGGTAATAAATGGTGTCTTTTGTGTAAAGATGATTGTGTCATTATCTACTCATAATCACAAATAAGCATATTTGCCCACTCATTACATATACCCACAAAGAATATTTTTCCAGATATATAGATGTACATCTGAATACTGTGTCATGACAACAAAAAACGTCTTCAACGCCAGAAAACAACCACAGTCGATTATCCGCCGAAACAGATTTCACTAATAACTTGAAAAATACAACCATTATTCATAGTACAGAACACAGAGCGTAATTGTGACACTAATACCAACAAATTGACTATTTGTTAGATCAACTAATAGTCCTAATCAGCACTACAACAAGTCGAATTATATATGTTTATTATCACAGTAACGTACAATGCCTACTTTGTCTGTATGTCAACGAATATCTCAATGTCGATGGCTACATTTAAATACAAATGTATTGTAATTAAATGGGTGGTATTTCCGTAAGTGGGGACTATTTCGTTCGCGTCACAGCTGTAGGGTAGGGGATAAATCTCGGCGATCGGAGAGTATTGGTAGTTTGCTTCAGTGGATTGAAAGGACTAAGATACCATGGCTTCCATCTCTGTTTGTTTGGCGTATTTACTGGCCATGGCTGCAGTATTTGATGCTGTGACGTCATGTAAGTATTACTACAGTTTGAAACCTGAGTTTCTAAGTGTGAACACGCTTTCCTGATATTTTGTGATAAGTACAAAATGTATACATACGTACAAATATATATACTCATGGAAACGAATAAAGGAACACACGAAAGTGCAAGTGTTCCTGTACTCTTTTCTGGGTTTCTTGCCATGCTTCATATTGCACTGTGGGTGAAAATTTGGAAATAAATAAAGGAACACTAGTATTTTCATGTTTTCCCTTATTAATTTCCATGAGTATATCATACTTGTTAAAATGAATATAAACATTATAAAAAAAACTTTATTCATAGATAAGTAATTTACGATATTTTAGTGGGGTTTTGAGAAAAAACAACATGGATAGCTGCATACCTTGTATTGACACTAGAACAGATATTAAATTCCAAATGATCATGACATGTATTGTTTTGAAACAGCGCAGTTCAACACTTAATCTCAACTTGAATCGCTTCCGACCAATTGGTCCTCGGAAACTGGAGTTTAGTCCTGACTAAAATTTCTGTCGCATACCCCGATTATCTGCCAGTAAACTAAAGACTGAAATCAAGAAAACTTTTGAAACTTGGATTTGAGATAAACATTCTTATAAACATTATCAAAGGCTGAACATATTCACCGAAACACTGCAGACTTCTGGTATACAATACATCCAAGACACTCGTATCTGTGATGTTATTATTTGCTATATTTCTAAATGGCACTGTGTATTCATGAATAAACATTTCTTGTATATAGATTTAACATATGCTAAATGGCACTGTGTATTCATGAATAAACATTTCTTGTTTGTCATTGTCAGCCATCATCATAAGTGGGTGAATGTTTTTCGTTAGCTATTCACTGCATCAATGTTTACTATAGGCTGTTTGCAGTGAAAACGCACCGATGAATTTCACTTTAAACAAAAAAGCAAATGAATTAAAGTGAAATTAAGATTGTGAATCCTCATAATTTTACCTTGCTAATTGAACAACATTTAAATCTCAGAATTGTATTCAACTTAGGATAAAAGTTGTTTAACGAACGATCATGGTTTCAAATCGCTATTATTGGTTTGTATTACAAGTGGGTAAGCGCAGCAGTTGGAACAGTGAAACACATGCACGTGAGGTGCGCGATGAGCGTTAACTTAGACTACCGTAGAAAGCAACCCTTCTTGTTCTCGGGGTTTCATTTAATATGCATAATTTTAATGTTCAAGTGGCAAGGTAAAGTTATGAGGAGAATGAATTAGGCCAGCTGTACTTTTTATCTGTTTCACATGTCCAAACTCAACCGGTAGAGCGGACGTACGAAAATTAAAATCATCCAAAACTCTTTTCAGTAATTGTGAATTTTTAAAATTTAAATTCCCCGGTAAAGTCTTTGAAATAATATATGATGTAGGTCGATTTGCTTTGCTTCGGAAAAAATGTTTTAATATAGGTACATGAAAAAAAGATGAAGAATATGTGACGAAATCATTTTGGGTTTGCTGACCTGTGCACGTGTAAGAGCATGCTTTTTTTATCACATCAGGGCATCGATTTTCACGGGAAATGTGAGATAAAAAAACTCTGTATTATTTCACGTCTTAAATGGGAACAGAAATAAATGCGGACATTATATTATATATAATGAATACACGTTCACGTGGCCGCGGTTCACGGTTTGATGGTTATCATACACACATGCGTTATAGTTTGAATCATACAATGGGCGATGGTTCAGATTTCTTACCATGATTTCAGAATGTTTGTGCCGTTTTTATTTAATATCTGTTTGAACACGATTGCTTCAATACACTATCAAAGAGTAGGAGACGGATGAGTTACACTTCATACAAGGAAATATATCACATTAGGTTTCTATAATTTTCGGATTCCAACCGGATCCTACATGGCAAACAAGGATATTCTCTTGAGAATTGACAAACTTCATGGATAACAACTTCTTTGATTTCGTGAGTGCGACGTTTCAATTCAGATCCTTGTTCCGCTGATTCAGTATCGAAACGTTGCACTCACGAAATCAAAGAAGTTGTTATTCAGAAAGTTTGTAAATAAGGATTGTCTCTGTTTCAGTGGACTGCGGTGGTGGGGAGTTCGAATGTGACGGCGAGTGTGCCCCTGGTCAGTGGCAGTGTGACGGACAGGTCGACTGCCTGGATGAAACGGATGAAGTTGGATGTGGTAAGGACAGCTACTGACAGTGAGTGAGTGAGTGAGTGAGTGAGTGAGTGAGTGAGTGAGTGAGTGAGTGAGTGAGTGAGTGAGTGAGTGAGTGAGTGAGTGAGTGAGTGAGTGAGTGAGTGAGTGAGTGAGTGAGTGAGTGAGTGAGTGAGTGAGTGAGTGAGTGAGTGAGTGAGTGAGTGAGTGAGTGAGTGAGTGAGTGAGTGAGTGAGTGAGTGAGTGAGTGAGTGAGTGAGTGAGTGAGTGAGTGAGTGAGTGAGTGAGTGAGTGAGTGACTGAGTGAGTGAGTGAGTGAGTGGAGTGAGTGAGTTTTTACGCCGCTTGTAGCGGTATTCCAGGATCAAATCATGGCGGGGGACACCAGAAATGGGCTTTTCACATTGTACTCATGTGGGGAATCGAACCCGGGTGTTCTTCGTGACGATCGAACCACTAAGCTACGCCACCGCCCCGACGTTTGTTAGTGATAGTAAGGTATATCTGACTGATCACGAATAGGTATTGTAATGTATAAATGTAGATGGCATACGTTTGCCATAGTGTTTCAGAGAACACAGATGCACCCACAGATCAGGGGTGCTTGTAAAATTCTTCTGACTGAATTCAGTCATTTCGATCATGCCAATGGGTTCCGCTATTTTTGGTTTTGGGGACAAAACCACCCACCCTGCCCACCATTTAAACACAGAAATGGGGCGTTGGCTAAATGGTGTTTTTGTGCCCCGGAAGCTGGCAATGGGTAATGGATGCGAAGAACTATTTGATATGCCACGAGTGGCGCTTATAATGTTGAATGAAATCTATTTTACATGAGTAATGATTAAATATGAAGTTGGAAATCTGAGAGCACAACCCTGTGAGGAAATGGGTGTGTACCTTTGATGGTGGCGATAATTAATTTTGATATTAAAAATATTTTTCGAACCGAAGCGAGGGAAGTACGTTGCCAACCTTTGCTCGCTTCGCTAGTGTATAGAAAGACTTACATAGTTTTCTCTGTTGCGCAGCCCTATTTGCGCTACAGTTTGCCTGTGCCTAGTGGTTAAAGCGTTTGCTCGTCACGCCGAAGGCCCGGGTTCGAGTTCCTACATGAGTACAATGTGTGAAGCCCATATCTGGTGTCTCCCACCGAGGTATAGGTGGAATATTGCCCAAAGCGGTGAAAACCCTGAATTCAGTCACTCACTCATTGAAGTGGAAAGTTTTCCACGACATTCGTCTCTCGACACGTTGTTCCCACAATGACATGACACAGCATAACATTACTGCAATACAGCGTTACTCACTGATTAATCGTCCCCACAATCACACGGCGGTGTATATAGACTGACCTGAAACGTACATCTATCCAGGGAGGTGTCACATTCCATATCCAGATTAGATCTCGGTATACTCTCTCACATATACATCTCACCTGTCATGAATGTTCAGTCAGTGCTGGTAGCTCCACCAGATCCGTATCTACATGCATGTCCTTTCCTGTCTCAAGACCTCAGACCCGTGAAGGTCCAGGTTAGAATATTGATCTTCAGTAACCCATGCTTGTCGTAAAAGGCCACTAACGGCATCTGGTGGTCAGGCTCGCTGACTTGGTTGACACATGTCATCGGTTCCCAATTGCGGAGGTCGATGCTCATGCTGTTGATCACTGGATTGGCTCGTCCATACTCAATTATTTACAGACCGCCGCCATAAAGGTAAAACTCACTCACTCTCTAAAACTCACTCACTCACCCAAGACCTCGGATCACCACCGAGCTGAATGAAGTTAAGGGACCAGTGTCCTTTTGTTCATATAATAATAATAATAATTAAAAATAATAATGCCAGGATCAGCCGAACCCTCTCTGCTGCATACTATCTTTAATCTGTGAAACATAATAATAATAATAGTCCACTTATATAGCGCCATTCCATATAGATGTGCTTCAATCAATTAAGTTATTATTAGTTCTTTAAGTCATGAATTAATTTTCATTTATATGACTATAGACCACTTGTATAGCGCTGAACTCCGCAAGGGCATGCTCGAATCTTGACTAACGGTAAGTCTCTGAATATATTAATTATAATTTTCATAGTAACAAACAAACCCTTATAAATTGAAAAGGAGCCCCAGTTAGACCAGAGATCTTTTAGGGCTTTAGCATTGCAGGGAGGGCTAGGCAGTAAGGAAAATAATGTGGTTCAGGGACTGTGAGACAGACTAACAAGACAGACGTATAGAACAAGATTGGACATTTTTACCCAGGATAATCCAACCTGCCTGTGAGGCGCTAGAAGGTTAATAGTCGTATTAACCCATTTCATACAAGTGACATACAGATCTAATACACATATCATAAACATTTCATACTTGTAAGTGACATACAGATTGAATACTGAATACATACTGATGTCATACAGCTGACATACTAATTTAATATTCACTACGTTAAAAAGGTTCGTCCATTGGTAAATTGTCTACGTAGTTTTAAATATAGATTATCTAGAAAATCATTAGAGCAAATGTACAAGTCATATATATTACCAACGTTCGATTACTGTTCGCACCTTTGGGATAACTGTACTAAAGAACAAGAAAAACTTGTCGAAAATCTACATTTAGACGCACTGCGGACGATTTGCGGGGCAGTTAGAGGAACAAGTCATGATTTAATATATAAGGAAACTAACTCTATGCCCCTAGTTGACCGTAGACAAATTAGCAAGTTATCATTAATTTACAAAATGGTTCATCATATGACACCAGTTTATTTAACTGATCTACTGCCCGAAAAAGTATCACAGTTAAGTGACCATAGATTAAGAAACAGTAATGACATTCAAACTATAAGGTGTCGTGGTGATTTGTATAGCAACTCGTTTTCACCTGGTACAATACGACAATGGAATGATTTGCCTGAGAATATGTACGATATTGAAACCGTAGGCCAATTCAAAAATGCATTCCAATCATCAAAACCACCCAATATTAATATATTTGATAAAAACTTTGGTACACGTTTCTGCCAAGTTATCCACTCACGCCTCAGCTCACGCCTCAGACTTGGGTGCAGTAATTTGAAAGCGCACATGTTTGAACGGCACATTTCAGTTGATCCATTCTGTTCCTGTGGTCACTCCTATGAGGATACTTTACATTACTTCTTTACTTGTCCTAATTATTCTAACATCAGACATCGCATGTATTTTTACGAACATGGATATAATTTAAATTCTGTCCTAAATGGTAATCCAAACAAAAATGTACTTGTAAATTCTTTCATACTACAATCTGTCCATACTTTTATAATAAAATCGCATAGGTTTGATAAATGATTAATAATGTTTAATACGCAGGTTGCTTGCTTTCCTATCATATTATTTAATATTTGTTTTATTCATGTATCATTGAAATGGAGAGGTATTCAAATAAGCCATTACGGCTTGTTTACCAATCCTAGTTCAATTTATTTTGAATAAAATATGTTTACACTATATTCACTACACACACACACACACACACACACACACACACACACACACACACACACACACACACACACACACACACACACACACACACACACACACACACACACACACACACACACACACACAGAGATATTAATTTTGTAACATAACACATCAATATTTGTCTGCACTATGTCGTGTACTGATCTGTACCTGCAGGGGCCATTGCGTGCACCTCCCGACAGTTCCAGTGCGGGGACGGACAGTGCATCAGCACGGTTTACACGTGCGACGGTAACCCCAACTGCGAAGATGGAACGGACGAACAACATTGCAGTGAGTGATATCATCTTTCATTGAGGCGCGTCTCTGTACATGTCATGAAGTGTGGGTAAAGCGTCTGCCTGGAGAGCGGAAGATCGCGGGTTCGATCCCCGACCGCGTCATACCAAAAGACGTTAAAATAAAAAAAAATTATAGTTTTTTATTTTGTTACATTTTTCAATATTTTATACAGACAAATAACAGTGATATTCCAGTATACCTGATGAAAAATCAAATAGTTTTAGCAGAATAAATCATGGCATGACGACCAGAACGTGTAGAAAGCATTGATATTACAACTAATTATTGACGAACACTTTGTTAACATATAATATTCAAACACTTTATGTTGAAAAACTTGAAAAGATGGCATAATGTTGTTAAACTTATTTCGAAAAATTAGTTCCTTGAAGAGAATTAAGATGATATTTATTGGATCATTGTTTTTATTTTGGGTAACCAAGCATTACATGTTTCTTTTCAATTTTGAGTTTTATTTGTGCTTTAACATGTAGCCAGTTCTCAAGTTTTTTCCATATATGGTTTACCTTGCTGCAAGACCAGAATAAGTGGATAGTTGTTTCTATATCTTCGGAGCAAAAACTACAATTACTAGTGTCTTTATATCCTATCTTTTCTAAAAAAATGTTTGTTGGCAAGATAAGGCGTAAAAGTCTGTATTGGAACCATTGTAATCTAGTATCTTTCGTACATCTAAGGGGAATAGTATTATAAAGTGGCCAATCATTAGATATAATGTCGTCGTATAAAATGTTAAAATATGGTACTTGTTCCCTGCCTGGCGCTCGGCATTAATGGGTACAACAAGGACTGGTTGGCTCGGAGTCAGTATAATGTGTCTGTGTGGGGTTTTCATGCTTAACTGCGGCATGGTATCTCAGTGTGCTAGCACTATAAAACCGGCTAGTACAAGCAGCCACACATAGACACGCATGCACGTCGTCATAGGAGCAAGGGGCGGTGGGGTAGCCTAGTGGTTAAAGCGTTGGCTCGTCACGCCGAAAACCCGGCGCACCCCTGCACACCCCCTCTGGATCCGCCTATGTTAATGTATCCAAACCCGCTACTCAACCCGTCCAAACCATATCACGACATACTGCCGTGTGATATTTCACCATGTTGTGTATAAAGTCGACAATAGGTGCCAACACATCGTCTCAGCTTTACATTTATTGTTTGCAGCGGTGCGTGATTGTTTCGATTCGGAAATCACCTGCGACAACGGGCGTCGTTGCGTGGACAAGGCCAGGAAGTGCGACATCTACCAGGACTGTCTAGACGGGACTGATGAGAATGATTGTGGTATGTGAAAAAATATTCCCTTAATGAATAAAAACGCTTGCAGTTTCTGTTTATAAAACCCCAACAACATTGTATCATAGGTTGAACATTACAAAATAAGCGAAAAAGAAAAACGAAACAAAGACATCGAACTGCAACTCCAGTGTATACTACTCAAAAAGGTTAAGGATCAGACGATGCTATGACAGATTAAATATAGAATTGGTGATCCTTGGCAGTTTTTCGTAGTAATGGTTATTTTCGTTATATTTGAATAATATAATAGGAACAAATTTTGTTAATTTGATACATGCCTTGCTCTGTTTAAGATAAGCATAAACACCGCAATAGTTATTTCTCTGAATTTGAGATGGGATCTAGCGATGTTGATTCTGTGTATCATACAACTTATTGCATGCACAAACACTTGAGTTAGATAGCCATATTGCATTGAATTCACGTGAAAAGAAACTTAATGTCGTTTCAATAAGGTTTTCGTAAGACGCGACCAACAGGAGCGAGCGGTCAGGATCGCTGATGCCAATCACCCTAAGTATCCTACATGCAGGGATCATATGCATGCCAATGTCTAAATCATCTGGTCCAGACTCGTATATTTTTCTCAAATAATAAAAAAAAACCCAACTTGAATGACATGAATAAATACAATGTGATGTGAATAGTTAGTCGCATCACCATCACCTCGTTAGCATTAGCTGAATGGTAGTAGTAAGTTAGACCTTTGGGTCGAGGTAAAAATCATTTGATGTTTGATGTTGTGACAACGCTGTTGTTTTAAAGGATTAAGACACTGGTTTTCTACAAAAAGTAAAATGTGTTCACTCAGGAAACGAAATAAGACATGTGTGAGTGAATCCATGTCAGTGAGTGAGTTCACTCAATGACTTTGATCTATAATATGAACATATAGTCCACTCAGATCATTAGTAGTGAGTTGTTCAATTCCTTACATATACTTGCATGCTGTAAGAATCATTTCCAGAACTTCAGTTATGGCAACTGCACAATTAGACTACAAGTTTCTTCCTACTTCTCGTGGTGGAAGATACTCATGTGTAAATGGTTATATGTTCCTTGTGAACAAGAGGAATTACGTTCAGCAAGACCGACCGTTTGGAGCCGGTAGCTTTAAATAATTTCTTTTCAAATTTGGTCAAACACACTGTATACTTTCTTTTGAGCACTAGTGTATTATATGCATTCTTTATTACTTAGATAATAGAAATTACTGTCCAAAATGAATGCACATATAAAAATGACATTTTACAGTGTAATTCTTGTTCAGTTATTCTCCGCTGAACATTTTAGCATTAACCGTACCGTTATAAAAACATGGAACTTGTCGACTTCTATGGTCAAAATTATCTATGATCTCTGACTGGGAAATAACTAGGTTTGCTTTTATGTAACCCTTATATTTCTGCATATATTTACAGCAAGTAGAAATTGTGTGACGAATATCTTTGAGGAACAAATTACTTCGTTTGTCTCTGTCATGGCGGTAGTAGAATGGCTGGTGTGTGTGGTCTTATTATTCATTGTCTGTAATCAGAATACCATTTTTGCCTTGAATGTCCATTCCATGACGATCTGAGAGCATCTCTCATACCACGTTTTTATCATGTATATCTTTCTGAAAACAAGCTAGCTCTACTGTTTACTTCTCAAAATAATATTGTTATAAACAACCTTGCTTAATATATATTTTTAGCTATGAAAAAACGTATGAAATATTTTGCATCCTGCTGATCTTGTGTTCACATCTCTGTACAATTATACCTCTATGTTCATTCCACTGCCTCCGTAGTGTAGTGGTAAGAGCGTCCGCCCGGATAGCGGAAGGTCGCGGGTTCTATCCCCGACCACGTCATGCCAAGAGACGTTAAAATATCGTACTTGTTGGTCCCTGTCTGGCGCTCGGCATTAATGGGTACAACAAGGACTGGTCGGCTCGGAGTCAGTATAATGTGTCTGTGTGGGGTATTCATGCTTCACTGCGGCATGGTATCTCAGTGGGCTAGCACTATAAAACCAGCATTAGTCTGGGCTAGTACAAACAGCCGCACATACACATACACACGCATGCACGTCGTCATATGAGCGAAATATTCTCAAGAACGACGTAAAACCAAATTTCACCTCACCTCTCCTATGTTCATTCCGTCACTTTTATGGCGCTTCATGTCACATCTTGAATCCTTCTGATATGTATGTGTATAAAGGGCCGGTGGCCCCCTTACTGAATAAACACATATGTCTCATTCATTGTCTGTATCTAGAGTCCAGCCAATGTCCAGATGGAGAGTTCAGCTGTAACGACATCTACTGCATCAGCAAAAGCTCCGTCTGCGACGGCTATCCTCACTGTCCTGATAACAGCGACGAAACCAACTGTAAGTATGGACGGACGTGTGTTCCCTGTGTGTAAGTCCACTGAATAAATACAACCATCTGTCGGTGGCAATCAGTGCAAACCAGGCTTTATTTTAGCCGAACAGTGAACTGCAAGAGTTGTGTGCAATAGGTCAGGTTCATTCAAGAGTTGCTTCCCTTGTTATCCTGAAGTTGGCCTCTTGTTCACATCACTAAAAAAAGTAGGGGTGTTCATTCAATGAAACTCCGTTAAAGTCAAACATAAACAAATGTAAGTGAGCCTGTAAGTTGATTCGCACATCTATAGATATATACTTATGTAAGTGTCTTGACAATGTCATTCAAAACACGTAGCTTTTCAGCCCAGACGAGTGAGTTTAGGTTTACGCCGCTCTTAGCAATATTACAGCAATATCACGGCGGGGAAAACCAGAAACGGGCTTCACACATAATACCTATATGCATGCAGGGAATCGAACTCGCGTCAAGAACGAACGCTTTAACCACTAGGCTACTCCATCGCCCCTCAGCCCAGATAAAGAGGACTGAGCAGGCAACATCTTATAGCCTTAAGATTGAGAGTCTTTTGAACGGTTGTCCTTAAACAAGAATCTTGAACGCGACATTCAACCCAACTTCACCTCTTGTCACAGCTTAAACATGACTTTAGAGTTTGTAACCCTACTGTCGTGTCGAGCATCACTATATACGATGATCAAACTGCTTATCCCGAATGATATTCTGTTCCTTTTGTGTATACACCAATAGTGACCGAGCGGGGTGGTCGCTTTATCGCCTTCAATTGCAACCCCGATAAAGCGATAAAGCGCTAACTGAAACAAGAAATCAATAAAGAGACGTCCCCTCTGAGCTACCATGCATAAATTTAGCATTCTCATACTGACGTTTTTCTTGTGAATGCAATATTATATTCAGTCAACCGTTGTTCTGTTTAACGTCCATGGACCTTACTATAGTTTTGGATTTTACGACTACTTCAAGCAATCTATTACCTCCCCTATAGGCAAGTCTTGCCAGCCTGGTGCGAAGCAGTGTCCGAATGGTCAGTGTGTCCCCGGCTTCCAAGATTGTGAAGCTAAATAGTCACGACGGCAGAGACGTTGTCACCGCTGGCAGCAACGTGACCAATGGACCCGGGAGGTCAGTATTAGGCAATGAATTTTAAATATCAACTGAATTTTCCAAATCCGAATCATACACTGAAGGACAAAAGAAAGTGTCACTTAAAATGACCTGAAGAGACCTGAAAAAAGAACTGTCACAACAACAGAGTGAGTGACTTTAGTTTTACAGCGCTTTTAGCAATATTCCAGCAATATAACGACGGGGCACATCAGAAATGGGTTTCACACTTTGTACCCATGTGGGGAATCGAACTTGGGTCTTCGGCGAGACAAGCGAAAGTTTTAACCACTGTAGTCTGTTTGCAGTGAAAACGTACCGATGAATTTCACTTTAAACAAAAACGTAAATCAAATAAAGTGAAATTAGAAGTGCGAATCCTCATGATTTTACCTTGCCAATTGAACATTTAAATCTCTGAATTTTATTCAACTTAGGATAAAAGTTGTTTAACAAACGATCATAGTTTCAAATCGCTATTATTGGTTTGCATTACATGGGGGTATGCACATTAAATGAAACACCGAGAACAAGTAGGGTTGGTCTAATTAAGTTAACGCTCATTACGTACTGCACGTGCATTTGTTCCACTGTTCCAATTACTGCGTTTACTCCCTTGTAATACAAACCAATAATAGCGATTTGAATCTATGATCGTCTGTTAAACAACTTTTATCCTTAGTTGAATAATATTCTGAAATTTAAACTTTAAACTTTGAGTGGCATTTTAGAAGTTGGAAGTCAGATAGAACCAGTATATATGGATGACAACTACTTGAATGATAACTGAAGCTGTATCGAAACGTCGTGCTCTAGAATAAAAGAAGTTGTCATCCATATATACCTGTTCTATTAATTGGCAAGGTAAAATTATGAGGATTCGCAATGTTAATTTCACTTTATTTGATTAAATTACTTTTTTGTTTAAAGTGAAATTCATCGGTACGTTTTCACTGCAAACAGACTATAGGCTGCCCCACAATTTCCACGATTTGAACATACGTGGCCCATTCATGGCCCTTAGGGGAGTAAGCGTGGGGATGACTTTGTTAAAATATCTGCAGCATATCGGGGTTTACTCAGTCAGTAGTTACTCAACCATGTTTTCCTTTTGCAGTTGACGACACCAGAAACGGCAACCAGGTCCTTGTATGAAAGAACTGTTATTAAAATGCTGATTTTTGGCGTCGAATATACTTTTTGTTTCAACAATTGTCAGTAAACAAATACAGTACCTTATTATTCATAGTTTTTGTTATTTCTGTATATAAAATATCACCCTGTTGTGATTACGATGACAACAACCGATAGCTTGCATGTCCTCACTCTAAATAGAAGTGTGATTTGTGTGACTGTGTATCAATGTTAATGTATGACTGATGTTAAGAAACGGTATTGGGGATTTCCAATAAGCTTCTTTGTGTTGTTTATTTGATGGATAACGCTCACTCAGCAATATTCCAGCTATATGACGGCGGTCTGTAAATGATCCAGTCCAGAAATCCAATGACAGACATCATGAGCATCAATCTACGCAATATTGGGCAGGATGGCATGTGTCAACCAAGTCAGCGAGCCTGACCACCTGATTTCGTCAGTCGTCTCTTACGATAAGCGTGGGTTGTTGATAACCAATTCACGGACAGTGACTATTCAGCTACAAGACGGCAGCCTATAGTCTGTTTGCAGTGATAACGTAGCGATGAATTTCACTTTAAACAAAAAATGTAAATCAAATAAAGTGAAATTAACATTGCGAATCCTCCATTAATCCATTAAATTTACCTTGCCAATTAAACATTTAAATTTCAGAATTTTATTCAACCTAGGATAAAAGTTGTTTAACAGACAATCATAGATTCAAATCGCTGTTATTGGTTTGTATTACAAGGGAGTAAACGCAGTAATTGGAACAGTTATACAAATGCACGTGCAGTACGTGATGAGCGTTAACTTAGACCAACCCTACTTTTTCTCGGTGTTTCATTTAATGTGCATACCTCCTTGTAATACAAACCAATACTAGTGATTTGAAACTATGGTCGTTTGTTAAACAACTTTTAAGCTGGTTTTAAAGTGCTTGCCCACTGAGATACCATGCCGCAGTGAAGCATGAATACCCCACACAGACACATTATACTGACTCCGAGCCGACCAGTCCTTGTTGTACCCATTAATGCCGAGCGCCAGACAGGGACCAAGAAGTACCATATTTTAACGTCTTTTGGTATGAAGCGGTCGGGGATCGAACCCGCGATCTTCCGCTCTCTCCGGGAGGACGCTCTAACCACTACACCACGGAGGCGGTCCATGAGTAGTTCACCGGGGAATGCTAGGAATGGGTTTCACATAATACACCCATGTGGGATTCGAACCCGGATTTTCGTCTTGCCGAGCTAACGTTTTGACCGCTAAGCTACGCATACCCCCTCCCCGCCACTCCCCTCCCCATCCCTGACAATGTATAAGTAACGATGATGTCAAACTGAAAATGATACTTATCAATATCTTGTCACCCATTAGACCGAAGGTATTTGAAACCTTATGATTATTTCAACGTCATATTTGTTCTTTGTCCCTATCGGACATATCCACTTATAAACTCTACTACTCTCTCGTGTGCATAACATCCTTTCATAAATATACAACTTGTCATTCTACCTATAAACAACACTGGTAATAAAGACGGATTGAAAACAGCATGAAATATATCCAAGCATTTCGCTGACAGTCAGGTTATTGGTCACGCAAGTTTGACTATGTTCTATCCCCTCCAAACGAGGTGCATCCGGGCACTCGATGACGTCACAATAGCTCCAAGTAGATACGGAACTGGATAGGAACGAGCTCCAACATGTTGTAGTAATGGTGTTAAGCCAGATACCCACATCACTGATGATATAAAACTGAAATTTCTGTCACAGACTACAGCACTCACACAAACATGACAAACAAATCGCATTGGATGCGATGGATGTTTGTGCTGACAGTATTTCTGCTACGAGTGTCCGAAAGCCGTGAGTAAATCTACATTGACATAAGCTCTTGTATTGAATCGTGTGATATTATATATTAAGAAATGATCTTGCTTTGCGATCCGTTATGTTTTTCCAACCTTCATGTAACGTAGTGTTTTAAGCCGTTCATGATGGTATTTTATGCGAAAAGTCATGTTTAAAAAACAGTTGTAGATTCTGGCGACGTCCTTGTCTTGTGCACAAAAGGTAATCACGTTTTCATGAATCTGTGACAAACGGTCGGTGTTTGCATGTTGCCTTTGATCTGTAAATCATCGATTAAACATTAAACAGGAATTGTAAAACAAAACAATTAATAATTTAAAATGTATTTCATTCAGCCGTTTACTCTGTCATTACGTTCTCCACTATAGTGTTTGTATAATATACAGTTGTAGTCTAGCATTGTACGGAATGAGAATTATCATAATTATTCATCTTTTAATACTTACCAAAATATATTTTAGAATATGTTATACATCTGAGTAGGTTATTTGAGTAGTGAACTCGCTACATTAGCTTTTAAACCATTGAGTCAGTGTGTATATATCCAGCGAGACATCAAGACACGTTGACACTGTACTGACCTCTACTTCAAGTACTTCCGGTACACAATGTTACTCCGACATAGGTCAATGTAATGGAGACCTTGTGTTGACCTGAATCTTCCTCTGCAGTGTAATTCACACAACTGTTTGTACATCCTTACTTTTGATTTAAACATATTTATTTCCAATGAAATGAACCGGATTGGTAAACAAGCATAAGCTCATATGAATACCGCTCCAGGATACAATGGAAGGAAGAGTCCTTCCTGATGAATGTACAATGTGAATGACATTATATAAATGTTGCTAAATCGAGAAACAACGCCAATCATCATCCTTACGTTTTGCCTCGGAAGTCAAGCTCATGGCTACAGTGTGTACGTATGTAAGTCTGTGTGGTTGTTCATCATGCTTTACGGAAATATCGGAGATGTCAAGGAATATTTGTCTACAAGTATCGCAAGGCCATCTTGGCATGTCATTCTGACGGGGGCGGTATGGCGGATACAACATTGGTTCACACACGTCGAAGACCCTCATTCGAATCTCCATCCGTCGTGATAACACTTTAATACCTTGAAACCTCGTTCAAACGGGAAAATAGAGTTACAGTGAATGTCCCAGATAGTAAAGTTACGGATTTATGTTTAGAAACATTACAGCGTTTTACACCAAGATGGTCGCGAAGGCGAGGTTTCCGCAATTTGCTTGTCCGGTCTGACGAAGTTTTAATGTACCGCTGAAACGGTTTAACTCAGTTTAAAAGAAGTGCGTGCAGAAAGAAAAAAAACAGCTGTTATATATGGACACCACAGTTCTTCAAGCTGATTTCCACGTTTCCTTGAATAAACCTTTACTTGATGAAACATAAAACATTTTCAAAGCATCGAAGAATTCACATACAAATACACGTGGTATACGTATATGTATCTATAAAAATAAGTTTAGTCATAAAAATTCACAACTATGAGCAGCCTATATTGACGTAAACACAGTCTAGTACGTCTAGCTCGACAACGGTGTAACAACGTGTTTCACGTTGTGACCATTATGTCGAACACAATGCACATAACGATGCGCCTATATAGTTACGTAAGTCGGACGCACATTCGTCAAGCTGTGCTAAGTGAAGTTGGGCCAAAAATTACCCATGCCTGTAGTTGATATTGTTGTTGGGAAGCACTAACTTGTCAGCACTTAGGTGTTAGGATTCTTGGCTGAAGTCAATTGTCTGAACAGGTTACGTGAGTGACCTGGGATTGATCCTTTGCTATATACCGTCGTAGGAGTCCTACATGAGGACAAACTATGATCGTGAATGGGTAGAATAATAGAATCACATAATTTCCATTCTATGTACGGCAAAGGTACAGATACAAAATGTTGTACTACCTGTTATATGCATTCAGGTGTGTGTATGTACATGTATATCGATTATTGTAACAGTTTATTGTTTCTAACGAGTTGATCAACAAGTTACAAAAGATTCAGAACATTGCTGCCCGTATTATAACAAGGAGCAAACCTTCTCGTTACTTATCACCCATTCTCCAAACTCTCCATTACTTTCACATTCCTGAACGTATTAAATTCAAAACATTGATACTCACTTATCAGGCAATTCACAAAATGGCACCTGCCTATCTTCGAGACCTCATCACACTGTACACTCCTTCCAGAACTCTCCGCTCCCATGATCAGTTTCTCCTGTCAATGCCTACTTATAAACAAAAATCGTTTGGTGCCAGGCCCTTCAGCATGCAGCTGCTACCCTTTGGAACTCTCTGCCTCTTGATCTAAAACTAGTACCAACTCGGCCACTCTTCAAAATCCCGGGAGAACCCGGGCACTCTCCTGATCTGCACCAAGAGATCAGGAGGTACCAAACCGAACAATGGGGAGCCTGACAACAGTGTACGTGGGATGCAACGAGACATTTTAAAGGCGAGGTCCGCATACTTAGCATGCTTTTCTTGAATCTTGCCAATCACATTGCTGTCGAAAGGGATAGAAAATTCAATGATATAAATAAATTCATTGGCTTTTTCAAAAAGGACAAGATCAGGTTTGTTGGCCGGAATTCTTCTCAGGCTGTATATGGGCCTATTCCACAGAAGTTTGAAAGCATTGTTTTCCATGACGCCCTGGACATGATCAGGGTCGTACCATGGATGGACCTCGGAGTCAAAGCCACAGGCATGGCGGAGGCGGTAGTAAAAGCAACGAGCCATGCCATCATGTCGTTTAAGATATGCTGTTTGTGCCAAGGAAGCGCATAAACTGACAAGGTGTTTAACAGTCTCTGTAAATTCATTGCACAATCAACATTTCATGTTAATATTTGTCTTTTAGAATCACATTTAGGCGATTGCGAGTGGGAAGTGACTGGTCTTCGGCAGCAAAAGAAAGCCCTCAGTTTCACATTTAAAACCAGCCGACTTCATCCAGGCGAAGGAGTCGGTTGGATTACTGTTCTGTTCCACACACTGCATGTACACACGATGCAATGGTTTCTCAGAAAGCTATGTGACCGAATCTGGGCAGACTTGGTGAATGACTTCACCTGGTTTACTCCCATCGCTGTACTGTCCAGCAGTACATCGCCACCAACAAAATCAGATTGTGTCCAACAACCTTGGCACGCTTAAAATAGCTGTGGAATTCCTTCCTTTCATCATGAGTCTTGACATGCATCGCCAGAGGATCATCCGATGAATACATATGTGCACAAGTACACAATAAAAGTCTATCATGAAGAGCCTCCACATTAATCCAACCCCGACCTCCAGAATTGATTGGCATATATAAACGATTGAGAGAAGAACGAGGGTGGTGGGCTCTGTTATCAGACATGATCCTTCTGGGTCAAGACTCTGGAGATCTTGTTTAGTCCATTCAACTACTCCAAAGGAATAGGAGCGGACTGGCACAGCAAAGGTAATGGTAGCATTGAGCTTGTTACGAGCATTTAGCTCTGAGCTCCAGATTTTCATTAAGCGAGACTTATACTCAGCCCGAAGTTAGTCTTGAATCTAGGCATTCTGGAGCTTGTCTCGAACTTACATTCCAAGATAGGTGTAGGCCTGATCTACCACAAGATGCTCAATAACTCTCTCTCTCTCCCCCCCCCCCCCCCCTGTAACTTGACTGATTCACCATTAACTACCTTGCCACGTTTCAAATGAAGAGTATTACATTTGACGAGTCCAAAAGTCATGCCAACATCAATAGAATAGGTTTCGACAATCAGAACCTGTTCTTTCAAATCTCCTTTGACTAGGAGCTCGATGTCATCCATATAAAGGAGATGAGGAAGCGGTGTTGGGGGTCTGTCTTTAGGAGGTTGAGGATGGTAACCCTCCTCCCTATTGAACAGAAAGCTCAACGGATTTAAAGACAGAAAAAATAGCAAAAGACTGAATGAGTCCCCCTGGAATATTCCCCTTCTGATTGTAATAGATTCCGAAGTCTGCACCTGCCCTTGCGAGTACAACTCAAATTGAGTCGACCAGTAGCTCATTAAAGACTTGAGTAAATCAAGTAGTATGTTAGGACAATATGTTGTACTACCTGTTTTATGCATCCAGGTATATGTGTGTGTTGGGACAATATGTTGTATTACCTGTTATAAACACCCAGGTATATGTGTGTGTTGGGACAATAATTGTACTACCTGTTATAAACATCCAAGTGTGTGTATGTATGTTAGGCCAATACGTTCTATTATCTCTTATATGCATCCAGGTGTGTGTATGTATGATAGGACAATATGTTGTACTACCTGTTATATGCATCGAGGTATCTGTGTGGATGTGAGTTGGGACAATATGTTGTACTACCTATCATACGCATACAAGTGTGTGTATTGGGACAATATGTTGAACTGCCTATCATACGCATACATGTGTGTTTAGTGGGACAATATGTTGTACTGCCTATCATACGCATTAAGGTGTGTGTATTGGGACAATATGTTGTACTACCTATCATACGCATCCAGGTGTGTGTATTGGGACAATATGTTGTACTACCTGTCATACGCATCCAGGTGTGTGTATTTGGACAATATAGTGTTTACTGTTCTATGCATCCAGGTGTGAGTATTGGGACAATATGTTGTACTACCTATCAAACGCATCCAGGTGTGTGTATTGAGACAATATGTTGTACTACCTGTCATACGCATCCAGGTTTGTGTATTGGGACAATATAGTGTTAACTGTTCTATGCATCCAGGTGTGAGTATTGGGACAATATGTTGTACTACCTGTTTTTGCATCCAGGTATATATGTATGCGTTGGGACAATATGTTGTACTACCTGTCATACGCATCCAGGGACAATATGTTGTACTACCTTTTATTTGCAGGTGTGAGTGTTGGGACAATATATACTGTACTACCTGTCATACGCATCCAGATGTGTGTATTGTGACAATATTTTGTACTACCTGTTTTTTGCATCCAGGTGTTAGTATTGGGAAAATATGTTGTACTACCTGTCATACGCAACCAGGTATGAGTATTGGGACAATATGTTGAACTACCTGTTTTATGAATCCATGTGTGAGCATTGGGACAATATGCTGCACTACCTGTTATTTGCATCCAGGTGTGAGTATTGGGACAATATGTTGAACTACCTATTATATACATCCAGGTGTGAGTATTGATTATATACACCCAGGTGTGAGTATTGGGACAATATGCTGCACTACCTGTTATTTGCATCCAGGTGTGAGTATTGGGACAATATGTTGAACTACCTATTATATACATCCAGGTGTGAGTATTGGGACAATATGTTGAACTACCTGTTATATGAATCCATGTGTGAGTATTGGGACAATATGCTGCACTACCTGTTATTTGCATCCAGGTGTGAGTATTGGGACAATATGTTGAACTACCTATTATATACATCCAGGTGTGAATATTGGGACAATATGCTGCACTACACCTGTTATTGGGACAATATGCTGCATACCTGTTATTTGCATCCAGGTGTGAGTATTGGGACAATATGTTGAACTACCTATTATATACATCCAGGTGTGAATATTGGGACAATATGTTGAACTACCTATTATATACCTATTATATACATCCAGGTGTGAGTATTGGGACAATATGCTGCACTACCTGTTATTTGCATCCAGGTGTGAGTATTGGGACAATATGTTGAACTACCTATTATATACATCCAGGTGTGAATATTGGGACAATATGTTGAACTACCTATTATATACATCCGGGTGTGAGTATTGGGACAATATGTTGAACTACCTATTATATACATCCGGGTGTGAGTATTGGGACAGTATGCTGTACTACCTGGTATTTGCAGGTGTGTGTAGAGAGGGGGCGGAGTTCGAGTGTGACGATCAGTGTGTCCCCAACCACTGGCGCTGCGACTTCGACAAGGACTGTGTGGATGGCAGTGACGAGATCAACTGTGGTAGGAACACAACTCCCTTCCTCGTGTTTCGTGCTCAAAATTTTTTTGGCACAATATTTTTCATTTGCCAAAAAGGAGCGTTGAATTGTTTCAGATATCTCTATTCATTGCCAATTAATAAAGTAACTTAAAATACTGTAAACACAACTCATCAGATTGCTATTGAATTGTTTTGTGACTGTATATAATCAATCAGTGTGTGACTATGATGTGCATTATATACTCATGGAAACGAATAAGGGAACACTTGAAAGTACAAGTACAAGCACTGTGGGTGAAATTCTGGAACACTTGTACTTTCATGTGTTCCCTTCCATGAGCATAGATGTACAATACATATCCTTTGCAATTTGTGAAAAAGTAATGAAAAGCACACGTTGGTAGCACTTGCGGAAACTTTCAATTTAATTCCATTGTTTAAGAATGACTACAAATTGATTACTCAGTAGAGACATGATCTTCAATGTAAGGTCCTTGGTGTTGAAGGTGACATAACGTGCCCACCGGATTACCTGTACTGTGCGTCACATACCGCATGTATCCCTGCTGACTGGTGGTGCGACGGAGAAAGGGACTGCAAAGACGGCGGCGATGAGCACAACTGTGGTGAGCGATGTTACGGTGACCATCTACTTCAACCCAAAACAGGAATATGAGACCTTCACAATACCAAACATTTAAAAATTCAAACACTACTGCACATCATATGATGTCCTAGGTATTCATTCTGTAACAGCAACTGACTGTCTCTCTGAACACAGGTTTTTTGAGCATATTTAAATATTTCTCAAGTCTCTTTGCCCCAGGAAAGTGTAGGTTAGATGTACACGTGGGTACCACAAGTTCTTCCCACTGTAATCCTAGTGATTTTGTAAAAGTCTCCAAAAATTCCATAAAACACCTCTCCCTTTGGTAACAGATAACGTCACCTGTCCACCATCGACGACGTCATGCGCGTCTGGCACCAAGAAATGCGTCCTGCAACGTTCACTCTGTGACGGTCAGAAGGACTGCACAGACGGAAGTGATGAGGAGGAATGTATGTATCTGATTCTGTATGAAGATTCTAACATGTTCAAATGCAAAAACAAAGTGTTGATGGTGCTTCTTTGAGAGATATTTTAGAAGTTGGAAAGTACACTATTGACAAATCTTATGGATAACAGCTTCTTTTTCTTGAATACGTGTTTCGATATAGATTCTTGTCCGGTTGTTCGCTTGACAACGGTACACGAATATATCACTTTGTATATATTTGCGAATCCGGTTTATAGCAACCCATTATTTAATGAACTGTACGAAAAAAGAATATGTATCCATAAAATTTGTCAATGTTGCTTGTGGTGTTTTACCAAACTAACCTAAAGCTACACATGGTTGTGGTTTCAGGAAGTAAGATTATTTATTACCTCCGAGCGCGAAAATATCGGGGTTTATATTTTTCATACGAAGCCCTAGGGCAAAATATCAATTTGTCATGGTGATGTAACGTCATGAACAATGCTATGACGTCACGTTTCTTCTGTGACATTGCGTTCTGCATACGGCGACGGCGGGTAGCCAGCCTATGTTTGAAAGTAGATTTGGGTTTATTTTCGTCAATTTGACAACTTCGGTAATGAACAGAATATCTTATTCGTGCCCATATCATACTATGTTTTCGACACTCGTGCTTAAATATCGGTATATCCCTCGCTCTCACTCGGGAAATACCAACTCTTAGGCACTCGTGTCGTAAACATAGTATGACATGGGCACTCATATATTATCCTTTATATATGACAATGCATTTTATCTATCATACAAGGCTGAGTGGGTTGAAACTGCCACAGATTCAAATGTACCCATGAAGTGATGCTACTAAAATAAAACCGGCATATGAATATTACGTCATGCCACGACAAATGAACTGTAAGAATATGAAACAACCGATTGCTATTTAACTTGGTTATTATTCAGCTCATGAACCCAGGTCACGCTAATCGCAGGTGTGTTAAATCCTTTTAGAGCGGTATATATTGACGCGCCGCTTAGTCGTAGACTAGATATCATCAGTGTGTTCCCAATCGCAGTGCTGTCACTGCAGGTTTTTCATTATGTTTATAGATATAGATTAAAGTTCCAAACTATGCATGCCATTAGACCTATATAGACCTGTGGTTATGGAAGAAATATGGTGGATTCCTCAGGCGGAAAGACCTGCGCGCCAGATCATGTCATGTGCCGGAACGACGCCAACCTCTGCATCAAGGCCATCTGGCTGTGTGATGGGGAACATGACTGCCCGAACGGAACTGATGAGGTCAATTGTCGTAAGTTGAGTCATATCGCTAGAATGAAAGTTCACTTTTGACGATCTAGCAATTGAAATTTACACTTGTCAACTCATATTCACGGGGGCCGGTGGGGTAGTCTGGTTGGATAGCCTAGTGGTTAAAGCATTCGCTCGTTACGCCAAAGACCCGGGTTCGATTCCCCACATAGGCACAATGCGTGAAGCCCATTTCTTGTGTCCCCCGCCGTGATATTGCTGGAATATTGCTAAAAGTGGCGTAAAACTACACTCACTTACTCATATTGATGGCCTCACAGCTATGGTTTTTGTGTGTTTCTTGTAAGTAGCTGAACTGGTTGAATTACTTTTGCATATTTTACAAATAATGAATACGCCATCTGCACTAAGACAGAGTAATTTGGTGTTTCCCTTGACTCCTTCTTCCCGCACCCTCTTGTACAAAACAGATTTAAAATTCGAAGATTTAAATTTAAATTATAATTCCAGTATAATGGAATCTTTATTGAATCTGTAACTTATCAACGATCCTTAGAACCAAACACACGATGGAGTTTTAGAAATGAAGAAAATAGAAGCATGGCAACTTTTAAACAAAGTGCCCCCTTTGTTCTGACGTAGGCCCAACCTGTGCGTCTGACGAGCTGCAGTGTGCGGATGACAAGTGTATTAAGAAGGCGTGGCGGTGTGACGGGGACGCGGACTGTAGTGATGGGTCTGATGAAGCCTTGTGTGGTACGTTGTGTCATATCTATACAACACACATGTACGTTATTGTCTTCATTTTCAGTATCATGACACTTGTACATGGTCGCCGTTCTTCTTATTGGTGCCATCTGAGTCATCACCAACTTCGTGCGCTCCATGAATCCTTCCTCTTTACTATAACGCGTACGGTTACCATCATCATTTTTATGGCTCCAGTCATCATCTTTGTCATCGCCTTCGTCATCATAATAATCTTCATCACCCCTTTTCACTGACGTTGTGATTGTCAATGTCGTTACTACTTCTAGCACTCGTGAATTGACGTTGGTATTGTCAATGTCGTTACTACTTCTAGCACCCGTGAACTGCGCCATTTCCGAATTCAAGTGTTTTGATAACACCTGCATCCCGAAGACGTGGACGTGTGACGGCGAGGCTGACTGTGAGGACGACAGTGACGAGATGAGGTGTATGTATTTGTTACCGATGTGTATTATAGTACCAGTTACTCGGGATATTTACCTCCCATAAAATACCATGAGCATGTTATCTTTCAGACACGTAGACATCTGTTTCCCGCCCGACCCGTGAAGGTCCGGGGTAGAATTAATCTTCAGTAACTCATGCTTGGCGTAAGAGGCGACTAACGGGATCGGGTGGTCAGGCTCGCTGGTTTGGTTGACACATGTCATCGGTTCCCAATTGCGCAGATCGATGTTCATGCTGTTGATCACTGGAATGTCTGGTCCAGACTTGATTATTTACAGACCGCCGCCATATAGTTGGAATATTGCTGAGTGCGGCGTAAAATTCAACTCACTCACTCCGTTTCCCGCCCCATGAAGATCCGGATTAGAACTGGTCATCACCAATTAATATTGCTGAGTGTGGTGTTAAAAAAAAAAAAAAAAAATCCCTCCCACTTTGATGAAACGACATTAACTTTGGTTGACAGGATTCTATGTTCCCTGTTCAGTATAGTAACATGTGTATACATTACAAATAGCTCCCTGTTCAGTATAGTAACATGTGTATACATTACAAATAGTTCCCTGTTCAGTATAGTAACATGTGTATACATTACAAATAGTTCCCTGTTCAGTATAGTAACATGTGTATACATTACAAATAGTTCCCTGTTAAGTATAGTAACATGTGTATACATTACAAATAGCTCCCTGTTCAGTATAGTAACATGTGTATACATTACAAATAGTTCCCTGTTCAGTATATTAGTAACATGTGTATACATTACAAATAGGTCCCTGTTCAGTATAGTAACATGTGTATACATTACAAATAGTTCCCTGTTAAGTATAGTAACATGTGTATACATTACAAATAGCTCCCTGTTCAGTATAGTAACATGTGTATACATTACAAATAGTTCCCTGTTCAGTATATTAGTAACATGTGTATACATTACAAATAGGTCCGGTCAAGTCTAATGATACTGTTGTGCCACAAGTTAAAAGCGACACAACATTTGACCCGAGTAGATCGACTGCTGATGGTGAGTATTTTATCTCAGATAATTTTTCAGACGTATATACACGATATATATAGTTACTCATTTTCCCATTGCGTAAATTATCGGGATTTTATTTTATGACAATGCGCCGTTATTGAGCTTCACAGTTCGCATTGCGTTTGTGGGTGATAGTCTCGATGAATGCAGTTTTCTTTACTTTTAGTGGAGATGAAATATTGCAATATTCTATTTGAATCTAGACAAGGTCTAATGTAGTAAATATATATTTTTTGATTAATTAATAAATTTCATATTTCTATTAAAGCATCAACTTTGAACTCAACATTAACGTCAGGAACATCAACATCACCAACATCAACACCAATACAACATTCAACTATAACACCATCTACCTCCTCATCGGGTAGGCGCCTTGTTCCTTGTTCCGGCATGTCAACATTGAGTCTATAAACTTTGGTCTCGCCCAAGTATGATGTTAAGTATACCAATTACAATCAATACCAGCGATTTGACTTCCCAAAGGACTTTTTGTGTCTCTGATTATCCTTAGAACCATCGCGCCTACCGAAAAGGTGTAGATTTATGTTTTATTAATATTCATAGCCGTTACGGGTCACCTAAGGCACCGCAGTTCGTTATCATGCCAGAATCGCATAATCGTGAGGTTAAATTATTGGTTTGTTACCATCACACCCGTGTTGTGGTATGTGCGTGCATCTGTAACAGTAAAGCAATATATACAATGATAACCTGTGACCAATATGTCTTGTGATAACCTCTGACCTGTGTTTGTGTCTCAGCTGGTCTCCAGGGGGCGTGTCTCCCCGGGAAGTTCAGGTGTGGGGGCGGCAAGTGTATCCCTATCAGGTGGAGGTGTGACAACCAACAAGACTGCCTCGACAACAGTGACGAGCTGGACTGTGGTACGTTCACCCAACATCAGTAACGTGTTCGTACACCATCATGTTTGTCGAGTACACCTGTTTGTCCGGTATGAACGTTTCTCCAGTACGCAAGTTTGTCTAGGATAGTCGGTTGTCTAGTTCGTTTGTTTGTTTTCTAACATTCCTGTTTGTTTATCGGCAAGTATACATGTTTGTGTTAAACAAGGCTACGTATTTGTCAAGCATACCTGTTTGTTTATCGGCAAGTATGCATGTTTGTGTTAAACAAGGCTACGTGTTTGTCAAGCATACCTGTTTGTTCTTCGGCAAATATACATGTTTGTGTTAAACAAGGCTACGTGTTTGTCAAGCATACCTGTTTGTACTTCGGCAAGTATACATGTTTGTGTTAAACAAGACTACGTGTTTGTCAAGCATACCTGTTTGTTCTTCGGCAAGTATACATGTTTGTGTTAAACAAGACTACGTGTTTGTCAAGCATACTTGTTTGTTAAGTATACGTGTATTTCTAACATGTTTGTTTGTAGTAATATACGTGTTTGTGTTAAACAAGACATGTTTGCCCAGTACACCTGTTTGTCAAGTACACGTGTCTAGCATACCTGTTGGTACAGGTGACACAACATGTGGGTCAAGGTATGTCCAGTGTGGGTCAGGACAATGTATCCCCAGTCCGTGGATGTGTGATGGCCAGGTGGACTGTGATGACGGTGCAGACGAGGTTGGGTGCCCTGCTCCAAACACGACATCGTCGACAGAAGGAACTCAAAGGTCTATCACGTCAACAAGGGCAGCATCAACTACAAAAGCACCAGTCACATCCACGCCTCCATCGACGTCAACAGCAACTGTTTTCACTACACCAACTACGACAACTTCTACTACAGCTTCTACGTTGCCGACTGTCAAAACACCAGCAGTTACTGCCACACGTTCGGACAACGGTGTGTGTCTGCAATATGGTTTTATGTTGCTCGAAAGCGATTCATTTGGGCATTTTCGAAAGAAAAATGAATAAATGCACGTCATCAATAACACTCTTAGGGATAGTTGATACAGCCTGTATCATTTACGCGCCTCGCCGAGAATAGCTGCTACTCACTCACTCCCTGACTATCTCTGACAATCTTAGCTCTCAAACTGAGTACCTGTGGTTTGTTTCAACAAGCGTTTCCTTTCGTTTTGATAAAACAAATATCCAAATCGAGGTCTGACTGGCTGAAGCAGCGTTGGTGACTAACATGGGGCAGTGTTATTCAAGCATTACTAACTCATTCTGAGAACCCGCAATTTTCGATAATTTCAAAGGTGTAACACCGAGAAGCTAATAGAGCTATCCTTAGATGAGGGGATATGAGGCATTTTTAAATTTAAGTTTGCGAATAGTTCTTTCAAAAGCAACCAGTTCGGTAGTCAGAATGAAATACAGTCTAAATTCTATGAATCTGGTGATCAGGTGAAATAAATGTTTTATTGAAACGTGCTGTTAATTACGGAAGCCTTTCAGGGTCATTTCCTTTACTTTGTTATTGCAATTTTCAGATGCCAGCGAGTTACACCAGAATTCATCTGTGTACACTACATCAGAGAATTCTCTATATCTTTCCAGATCCCCTTCTGTTGGTGTTCGTACACCAGGACTTGCGTGTGTTTGACCTAACTTCCGATGACGTCACTGTGTTTCCGCTTGCTGCTAAAGGTTTTGATCCAATTCCCACTGGGCTCACGGTTGACGTGAGACAGAGGACGCTGTACTGGCCCGACGTCAAGTACAACACCATCAACTCGTGAGTCGTGGAGGGTAGATGGGTGGTGCGGATTGAGACGAATTGTCTTTTATTCATGATAACAAATCAAAGAGGAAATGACAATACATGAAACGCTGGGTTCGCGGGTGGCCATGTTGGCAGAGACGCCGCAGCACTGAACAATGTGCATCACTGGTGCATGCACACTTGAAAACTGAAGTCGTGGGGTCAAATCCTGGTTCGTTCCGATTATTTCTAAAGTTATCTTGGTTTCTAAGTTTGTCAGGTCTTATCCGTTGTTGTCACTGGGTAAACGTCTTGTCATAGCTTTCCTCACACATTATGCGGAATACCCTGATAGAACTGAAATGCCGGAAAAACGTGGTTACACCAAACACTCACGCTCACTCACTTACAGGTGATGTCAGTTATTGACCCATTCATTTTTTATTGGCATTTCAGTTAGAAATACTGTTATCAATCCCGTTAGGTTAGGTGGGCAGTGCAAATGATTATATCTACATGATTATCACGAGGTCCTTATAATAACGGTTATGTGCAGCCTTGATTTGTGTGTGTGTGTTCCCCTCTGTTTTGCGTTGTTTGTTGTTCATGTTATCGACCCTTGTTTTCCTGGCACTATTCCAGCAATATCATATCGGGCTGGCCATGAATCGGTTTCAACCATCATCATTAGTGTCACAGTGATGAAGGTCACGCATTGCTGACTGTATAATTGAATATTTTTCACTGATTGCGGTTCAAGCTTTAGGAAAATATAATTTGATGATTTCGTCATTTACTACAGCGTTAATCTGTATCTGCAGTGCAACTTTAACCAGAAACAAGACTCTAACAGACATCAAGCAGCTGTATAATATTGGGATACAGAGAGCCGTCGGCATAGCACTTGACTGGGTTCATCACAACCTCTACTGGTCAGATATGTCAGCCGGCACTGTCACAGTTGCCTCCCTTGACACAGGGGTCACAACTACGTTGCTGGATGATGATCTGGTCGACGTTCAGGGTCTTGACGTAGATCCCTTGAATAGGTGAATATAAACGTCTGGTAGTCGTGTCAACTGTATTTGTATTAAGCGTTTACAAAAATGAGGTATACCTGGAACAATAATGCTACTTTGACATTATAAAAATTCACCAGCTTATAGACGTTCAGGGATAAAAATGCTCTCCTTCCAAAGGTGGTTGTTCTGGGGCTGCGCGGGACATCGTCCTAGGATTGAGATGAGCGGCACCGACGGCAGCAACAGAAGAGTCCTCCTCGATAAAGGACTCGAGTACCCCAAAGACGTGACCATAGGTTTGTAACAACGTTCCCACAAGTTGATATCGACGTGACAATAGATTATGGGTTAGTGACAATGATACGATAAGTTAGCAACACTCGTCAGCAACAACATGACTACATGTAAACATCAACTTGACAATTGTAGTAACAACATTGCAATAGATGATATACTTGCTAATATGGTACAGAGTGGCAATAGGTTAGTAAGAAAGTATGTACAATACTAAAATAGCGGTGGTAATAGGTAACTGTCAACCTACATGTATCTGTGGATAGGTATAGAATTGGCACTATGTTATAGAACAACATGGTCGAAGCTTAGTGGCAGAGATACGGTAACAATGCTTTACTAACAAATTCGGAATACTGTGCAATCATACTGTGACTGAAAAAGTTGTGCCCTGGTTTGTCGTCCACTTCAGTGAAAGAGTTTGTCTCAAAAGATACATTTTATATTTAGACCTGAACTTATAATTAACTGTTATCCCCTTGTATATCAGATTTCAAAACCAATCAGCTGTACTGGGCGGACAGCGGTAACAACAAGATCGGCGTGTGCGACATCGTCAAAGGCGGATGTCGGGTACTGTGGACGGCCCGGACAGGTCTGATGTACTATGGGATCGATATTTACAAGGTAGGATGAACTGAGACTAATGGGATAGCAGCAAAACTACCCCGAGTTTGGTGAACGCTTCAATCCGTGAAGATCCGGGATACAATTGTTTTCAGCCACCCATGTTTGTCGTAAGAGGCGACTAACGGGATCAGGTAGTCAGGCTTTCTGACTTGGTTGACACATGTCATTGGTTCCCAAATGTGTAGATCGATGCTCATGATGTTGACCACTGGGTTGTCTGATCCAGACTCGATTATTTACAGACTGCCGCCATATGACTTGAATTTTACTGAGTGCAGCGTTAAAAAAAGAAAAGTTTAGAAAAACACACACACACACGTGCATACACCTCGCTCTATAAGTGACCCCGACGTGACCGTGCTGCAGGCCATGGCGTTGGCAAACAATGATTAATCTTAGAGAGGGCAGATATTCAAACCACTAAACAACAGATCCTGGCACAACCAAGGAACCCAATTTGCTACCGATAATGAATATTATTATCTGTGGTCACTGACTGTAATATGGATGCCCTAGTGTACATTCCATTTCTGTGACAGCTTGAACGGCATCTTAACTAAAACAATACCTTGATCGCTCTCACAGATGTCATTTTTATTTGTTCTGACATATGTACTACCCAGAAACGTCTTTACTGGAGCGAGACGGCGTACGGACAGATTCAAAGAATCAACAGGGAGCAGGGCAAGTTCGTCCGTCGTGTTCAGAAAAACCTGATACAACCAAAGGGCCTGGTTGTGATGTATAGTCAGCGTCAACCTTACGGTGGGTAGAAGTGAGTGAGTGAGTGAGTACAATTTTACGCCGCTTATAGCAATATTCCGGCAATATCACGGCGGGGGCACCATAAATAGGCTTCACTCATTGTGCCCATGTGGGATTCTAGCCCGGGTTCGGCGTCACAAGCGAACGCTTTAACCACTGGGCTAAATCCCACACCACACGACACCTCCACCCCACCCCCAAGTGGTCATGGAGATAGTCTGTGTGTCTTTCCCCAAACAGGAAGCTGCATATCATTATGGGAGTTCAGGTATTCGGACTCACTAATGTAGCTGTAAGGGGTGACAAAGGGGTTCGGCTCGCTGACTTGGTTGTTAGGAGATGGAATTCTTAACAATAACGATCCTGTCATCCAAAGTTCTCGTTCCATGTGATAGACGCAGCTTATTCGATGCATTGCTTTCATTTCAGCCCCAAACAGGTGTGGTTCGGATAATGGCGGATGTCAGATTTGTTTACCTTCACCGAAGGGAGAGAACTCCACTTCTCAGTATATTTGCGCATGCCCGGATAACTTGTTCCTGCAATCAGACAAGAAAACCTGTTCAAACAGAGGTACTTATTTTCTTGGAATAGATCATTTCCGTATTTGTCGGGGATCGGGGGTCACCCCTGATATTCCGGAACTTACAAGGATTGAAGCCGCAGTTGATTCGCGCTATCCATCATAGTTTGGATATGCATTCACTAATTTACTTTGCCGAAAAAAGCGTTTTATTTTACAGTAACATTACAAACGTAATCAAAACGTTACTAATAGAAAAAAGTCGCTTGTACACTGCAAGCTAAAGGTCCTATCCACACCTATGTTCCTCGCACCAAATACAATTCCCTATCGGATAAGTATTTCTGGTTTGTGTTATGTAAACAACACGGAACATGTGAGTATAATTTTTAAATCAATAAAAGCATGTCATGTAAGCTTTACATTTAAAGTATTATATTCTTCTTGGTTTTCCTTAGTAAAAAGCACATCTTAATTAAGAATTAAAAGGAAAGAACATTGCCATTCATTTCGCTTTTGAAGACCCGTCCAAGCCTTCGCGATGTTCTGAGGGGTACGTGATGAAAGGCAACAGGTGCGTGGATGAAGACGAGTGTGCGGTGTCGCCGGAGACGTGTTCACAAAAGTGTGTCAACACGGTCGGCGGCTTCAGATGCGCGTGCTATGATGGCTACACACTTGTCAATGGCACAAAATGTAAAGAAGAAGGTGGTAAGAGCATTATTACAATTGTGGTATATTTTAATTATCATCATTATCAATGTACCATGGGGGGTGTTTTTATGAATCTCCATCACTCCATCATGCACGTCTGTGACATTTGATTAAGCAATCCTTCACTCGCCTGTTATCATTTCAGAAAATGAAGTATTTATGGTACTGCTGGATTCCCCGAACTTTAAACGAATAAACCTGACAACGTTTGATTATGTTGTCATGACGAAGCCTAAATGCTTCGAGATCGGAAGACCAATATCTCTTGATTTTGACGTCAGGAATCACAGCGTCTTTTGGTCGGATGTACACACTAAAAGCATCAGTATGTAAGTATAGTTTGATAGTATGCCATCTTTTCTGTCCCCGCAAATGATGCATAAGACTCAGTTTTCCAATAAAATTAATTAAAAATCATTGAGTATTTGCATTCAGATGCACGAGAAGGTTTTTACTTCCGCCCTATTCATACATCAATCTGACCCGTGAGGGGCCGGATGAGAATTGATCTACAGTAACTTATGCTTGTCGTAAGAGTCGACTAAAGGGATCGGATGGTCAGGTTCACAGAACTGGTTGACAAATGTCACCGTATTGCACTTACGTAGATAGATGCTCATGCAGTCACTGCATTGTCTGGTCCAGCTTCGATTATTTACAAACCGCGGCAATACAGCTGGACTATTATTGAATGAGGCGTTAAACAAACAAACAAACAAACAAACAGACAATCAAACTTCGAACTGAAAATTCGTCATATGAATTGTACAGTAAGTGAGTCCCGTCTACCCTTCTAATGTCATTGGTTACGTCATAATGTGTTTAATGTGTCAAATTGTTTGTTGATAGGGCCCGTATTGACAAATCCAATCTGGATAGCAAAGAAGTCCTCGTGACGAACGTGTCGGTAGCGGCCGGTGTAGCCTACGACTGGGTTCATCAGGCCCTCTATTGGACTCAGGAAAAGGCGGGCGAGGAGGCAATCAGAGTTGTGTCCCTTAGGTCAAAGTTGATGGCGACTCTCGTTTCCAGAAATCTCGGCAAACCTCGGGCGATAGCTGTTGATCCTGCAAGAGGGTAAACTTTTTTTTTTATGTTACTAGTAATTATGATGTTGTTGGTAATAGTAAAGTTGTTCCAAGAAAATTATAATTGCAGTACGCCCGAAATTATTGCACTTATTCAGCAAGGGTCACACACGCGTAGTAGTGGTCTCAAATAATGCCAGTTTTATTGTGCTAGCCCCACCTCAGATACTAAACCCCAGTTTAATATGTGGTTTTGTGTGGTCACAAATCACAAACCAGTTGAAATTGAGCAGTGTCGGTCGCGGACATCCCTTGGATTGGTGACCGTGCTTGGCAGCTTGCCTTCTGAAGGTTTCTAGGACTTCAGTCTGGCAATGCAACGAAGCACATGAAACACATATGGTCTCACCTTAAGCAAGTGAGTTCATAATTGCATGTGTTCACTCAGCAGTGAATTGGTACCGAAATGACTGTAAACCATCTTGCGCATCACATGCAGTTTGGGTTGTAGAGCGGTCAATATTGATTAAACAGACGAGGAAGAGAGAGCATATGACGCAAAGCGATTGATTCCGCTCGGAAGCTTTGGGCAAACCTTGCAGGATAATGTTCACTCTTATCCTGTCCACTCTTAAAATACATGGTATAAGACACAGAGTGTGCAGTAGATATTATCCGGAAACTATATTACATAGGTAGATTCGAGTTTTCATCACGCAATATTTGATTGCCGTTTCTGGTTGTCATTCAACAATACTCTGGCTTTATGAAAGCAGTCTGTATTCCCAGTCTGGTTCAGCCAATCCAGCATATATCCACTCAACTGAGGCAAACACATGCAATCAACCACGTCGTTTATATGTAAGCGTGAGTGAGTATGGTTTTACGCCGCTTTTAGTAATATTCCAGCAATATCACTGTAGGCGACACCAGGAATGAGCTTCACACATTGTACCCATGTAGGGTATCGAACCCAGGTTTTCGGCGTTATGGGTCGACGCTTTAACAAATGGACTACCCCAACGCCCTTCACATGTAAGCGACTCAAAGGACACGTCTTGTGTTAAGTAACAGTTGCTGAAATATTACTGTGTAAACATGATTATGTGATATACTACTGTTACATTCTTTTACCTACTGGGTTATGGTTTATAGGTGGATGTACTGGACGAACTGGGGTCAGCCGGCGAGTATAGAGAAGTGCGGTATGGACGGGACAAGGAGACACGCCATCATCACTGACGATATTAGATATCCTAATGGCATGACTATTGGTGAGCTGGAACCGTATTTATCATCAGGTTTATTACGTCATTGATGGTTTAGTGGAATCAATTTTACTATCAACAACTAACATCTCTTTCTAAGATTTGTTCGTCATTGAAGGGTGTCCCTATACCGACTGCATTTAGTTGAGTAATAACACTATTGGCTGTACCTTTGGGAATGTAATGTGTGGTTTCAAGATTAGTCCATTAAGAAACATAGTGAATTATAGATATAAAGTAATCGGATGCTCTTCAACTTCTTTGAGAATTTACCCGTGAAGATCCGGGTTAGTGTTGGTCTTCAATAACCCATGCTTGCCTCCACCCGTGAAGATCCGGGTTAGGATTGATCTTCAGTAACCCATGCTTGTTGTAAGAGGCGACTAACGGGATCGGGTGGTCAGGCTCCCTGACTTGGATGACACATGTCATCGTATCCCAGTTGTGTAGATCGATGCTCATGCTGTTGATCACTGAATTGTCTGATACAGACTCGATTAGTTACAGACCACTGCCATACAGCTGGAATGCGGCTGGGTGCGGCCTAAATATTAAACTCACTCACTCTTTTGAGTAGTATACATGAGATGTTGGGTTATGGGTGAAAGTATGAAGTACATATTTAATTCCTATGGAAGGACAGCCTTGGAAATCTTTTAAATGATCAGGTATGTAATTGATCTGATCATACGTATTGTTTCCTTCCAGATTACATCGATAAGCGCCTGTACTGGGTCGATTCCCACTTCAACAGTGTCACGAGTTCTGACCTAGACGGAAATGACGTCAGAGTCGTCATTGACAAGAGCAGATTCTTCCGGGAACATATGTTTGCTGTTACTGTTTTTCAGGTATTTATCACTGACAATGTTCGGCTGATAAAATTACAAACATGCACCACGACATAGACAGTGAGTGAATTTGCTTTTAGTCAGCAACCACAAATATAGTTGCGGGCAACGATGAGGTCTCTCCTTGGCTTTACTTTCTATCTATTGTATCTGAGGGCTAGATATCATCGTCAAAACGGAGCCAGAACACATGTTTTGACAGGCGAGCGGATCTTCCAAATACAGCCGGGGTCACGGGGGTGATGTACCTTTTAAGTAGTTCCGGAGAAGAAATAGTTCCCTCTTTAAAAGGCTGTATCTCAGGTGTTCTTGGGTCTACGTTCAAAACAATTAGTGTTCTGGAATCGCCAGGACATCATCTACGTTCCATACTGGCTGGAATTCATCTACCATACTGGCAGAATTTGCACATTTTGGGAGCAAACTACTCAGAAAAGCTGAAAACAAAAATAACTGCCAAACGGTACGTTTTAGCGACTTGACCCGTCCAGGCAAAATTGTTGGGTATTCGATTGTGCACCTGTACAAGAAATTTGGAAGTGTCGGAACAATTAGTTCTTGAGATATTTGCTGTCAAACGTTGAAATTTTGGAATTAATTTTGAATTATCGCCCCTTTGCTATTGGGCCAAGAGCCTAGAGATTTTTAAGGGGAATATCTACACCTCGGTGCGCATCTGTGTGATTTTTTGTAAGTGATTCGGAGCATTGGTTTAGGAGTTATGTTTGGTACAAAAATCGGCGGAATAATAAATAATAATAATAATAATCCGAACGATTACAATAGGTCTCCTGCCTAGAGGCAAGGAGCCCTAATGTGTATTTCGGATGTTGCCGTTGTCTGTACCAGACTCGATTATGTACAGGCCGCCGTCACACTGCAGGAATATTGCGCTATAAGGAAAATAAAAACACCTCTGACATTGCTCAAAGAGTCATAGTTCCAGAGTCGATTATCGTATTTCCTCTTAAGCGCCGGGGGTAAAGCAGCGGTTTAATATAAGAAATAAGCGCCGGGCCTCTAATAAGCGCCGGGTACGTGTTTTATATATGTAGTCTCCCTTGATCCCAAAATAGGTTAATTAAGGAATGGTCCCTTAAGCCCTGGCGCTTATTAGAAGAAAAACAGTAACTGTATACAGTATTCAGTTGACATATTTTATCTGCTGCATAGAACAAGGCAAATAAAAACATGGAGTGTGACCAGCCAGAACTCCTAATAGGACGGTAATATCATGGGTTTCTTTTAAAGTCTATTCTATATTTTCTTGAAGTCTTGTTATTATTTATGCAGAGAAGAACCGATGTGGTCTGGATAATCGAGGTTGCCAAATTTGTTTGCCACATCCACAAAAAGATGGAAGCAGCAAGGAGTACACCTGCGCATGCGCAGATGGAATGACACTGAAGGCTGATGGGAAGACCTGTGTCAAGAAAGGTCAGTTACACACAACCGTCACATAACAAAGACTTAGTGTGCCAACCAATGTCATTAACATAGATATTCTATTCCGATGTTATACCTACATGTGTGGAGATGTCCATAGGTAGTCACGTCAGAGGAACATTCTGCTCAACTAGTCGAGATTTCTCAATTCTTGGTACTAATGAACAAACCGTTACACTCGTATTTCTGATTTCTGTGTCTCGAAAACGGAGATAATCGGCTTTTCCCAGTTTCAATTAAAACGATCACGCCATCATGTTATTGGAGACATTTTTTTACCTTCATGGCATCAGCACAAAAAATGATTACCATCAAAACAATGTTTCAGCCTTAGTTTGTATAAAACCGAAACTTTCGATTCGGGGAGGTAAGGGAAATTAATGAAGCCTAATAACTTTAGAAAACTGACATCTGATGGGGTTATCATTAGTTGGCAAGGCATCGTATCTAAAAAGTTAATATTTTCAATTAATTAGGAATACCCCCTCATACTGTTTTATGTGTTGTTCTATATCGTATTTTGGTACGGCTCGTTTACGTATAAGAGTAGGTGTGTTAGTTTGATGTGCAGGGATGATGAATGTGTGACGAACACTGGATGGGACTGGGGATTCAGATGCTTACAACAAACGAGCTTGTACTTGTATGATGCTGACATACTACGCATCATAATCAGATGGCATTCGTAACTACTCGCCTCTTTCCGTGACCCACAAGAAGACTCGTACCCCTGTCGTACGCCATTATTGCCAAGAATCGTGGCATCCAATCAAATCGCGCATAGTAAAACGCATTTCGAAGCATAAAAATGGCTGCACCGTTGAACTTTGAAGCTTCGCTAATCTATGCACAGCAAAATTTAAACATAAACGTTGAGCTAAAGGATCAGCAACTTTCAACACTGAAACATATTTACAAAGGGAATGACTGTATAGTTGTTTTGCCCACGGGATATAGGATATTCTAGGAGTAGCCATGTTTGGAAATTTAGAGTTATCTTTCCTTGGTAATAGTACAAGACTATATTCATCTCCGTGCCCGTTTTTGCTTGGACAGGGCCCAGTCGTAAACACGAGAGAGGGTACGAGATGCCATCCGGCTTGCCGGAATGACATGAGTAGTTACGAAGGAATCAGATGGATCCCACGAGCACAGGAACGTGGAAAGCCATGGGGAGGCAACTCTGCAGAGTGGAAGAGGGCGCCAATTGGGCCACCCCTATTCCATGAACGTCTTTGACCTTTGTATATAAAACAAAAATTAACGAAATATTTGTTTTGTTTCGTAAGTGATCGAACAAGAATGAATGTGAACAAAATTGAATGTTGTAGGTCAAAGGTCAGCCACCTGTTCGTCAGGTTTCCGCTCTGTGAACGGCAAGTGTGTCGATGACGACGAATGTGAAACGGCTCCATGCTCTCACAACTGTACCAACACACCCGGGAGTTATAAATGTACCTGTCCTGATGGGTACGCCCTCATCAACGAGATAAGCTGCATGGCACGTGGTAAGAGGGACTACATCTGTCTGAGCAAAACCATGTATAGAGATAGTTGAAAACGATCGCCCAAGGAAGTTCAAAACACAGCTATTTTACCCGCACTAAGTACAACCCCTATCGAACAAGCATTTCTTATCTGTGTTAAAGCCACCGTGAAACATGCGCGTATACTTTCTTTTTCAATGTGATTTAATAAAACCAGTTCATATAAACTGTACAATATAACGTGTTATATCCGTCATGGCCTTTTTGAGAATAAATGTGATTAAACAATTTGAAAGGGAGATCAATGCTTTCACTTTTGAAGGCCCGACCACGCCGTCGCCATGTTTTGAGGGGTACGTGTTGAAGGGCAACAGGTGCGTGGATGAAGACGAGTGTGCGGTGTCGCCGGAGTCGTGTTCACAAAAGTGTGTCAACACGGTCGGCGGCTTCAGATGCGCGTGTTTTGATGGCTACACACTTGTCAATGGCAGAAGATGTAAGGTAGAAGATGGTGAGCACATTATCATCATTATTATTATTATTATTGTTATAGTAATAGTAGTAGTAGTAATGGTAGTATACGTACATATAGTGTTATTTACAGATTAAAATAAGTCACTGTGAGTAAATAGTAATCAGATGTACATCTCTAACATTTGATTAAGTTTTTGTAATTTTGCACTCACCTGTTATCATTTCAGAAAATGAAGTGTTGTTTTTTGTACTTCTGGATTCCCTGAGCATTAAACGAATAAACCTGACAACGTTTGATTATGTGGTCATGACGAAGCCAATAAGCTTCCGGATCGGAAGACCAGTATCTCTTGATTTTGACGTCAGGAAACACAGAGTCTTTTGGACGGATGTACCAAAAGAAACCATCAGTATGTAAGTATAGTATGATAGTAATAGTAATAGTAATATACCGCTTATATGACGCTCATATCCAGACACATTGCCTGCTCACGGCGCTACGTACATTACTATCCCCGGTCACAGGACACTATCGTACTTTACGATACTTTTTCAACTCCCGGGAGAGCATTCAGCCATGCTGCCTGTTAGGCGCAATGAATTTAACACTCACATTGCCAGCACATCTTCACGGGTACCCATTTTACAGCTGGGTGAACTAGGACAATGTGGATCTAAGTATCTTGTCCGAGGATACTACGCAAATGTGCCCACCTCGGGAACCGAACCTAGGTGCCTCCACCGGGGATCGAACCCGGGCATTTAGCGTGGTAGGCAGACGCCTTACCGCTGCACTACTGCGCTCCACATAGATAGAATGATAGTATGACTTTTGTCATCTTACCAGTCTATCGCTCGATGCAGAAGACCTCATTTACAAAAGTTTAGTTAAAGTAATTATTAATCATTCAGTATACGTGGTGATATAGCGCCTTCATAATCCTATTCCTCTAGCATGAAGGTGCAGGCTAGATGCACGTGAAAATCCGGGAGAGAGCTGATCTTCAGCAACCCATGCTTGTCGTAAGAGGCGACTAACGGGATCAGGTGGTTGTCGCGTGTCAGCTTATCCCAAATGCATAATAGTTCAATGGTCAGGATATAAATCACTTGATTGTCTGGTCAAGCTTCGATTATATGCAGATAGCCGTCATGCAGCTGGAATATTGCTGAGTGCGACGTAAAACAATAAACAAATATGCATTGAACTGAAAATACGGAATATGAATATGTACGTTAAGTGAGTGTAGGATTCTAATGTCATTGGTAACTGCATAAATGTGTGCAATTGTTTGTTTGTAGGGCCCGTATTGACAAATACAATCTGGACTGCCCAGAAGTCCTGGTGTCGAATGTGACCTCAGTGGCCGGTGTGGCCTACGACTGGGTTCACCAGGCCCTCTATTGGACTCAGGCAAATGCAGAGGACGAGAAGGCAATAAAAGTTATGTCCCTTAGGACAAAGCTGGTGGCGACTCTCTTTTCCACTAATCTCGGATATCCTCGTGCGATAGCTGTTGATCCTGCAAGAGGGTAAACGCATTTGAGTGTTTTTGGTAAATATGTAAAGGAACATATTCATAAACTTCTTCTAAATTATTTTTCCTTGATTGGGAAAGCAGAAAAGATGAGTAAGGGGTCGTGAGGCGAAAAGAGTTTAATATCACGTCAATGGTTATTGCACATACATAGTAGTGACGGCCAGTTTTACTGTTTTTACGGACCCCAACGAAAACGGCCCAAACAAAATTCGAGCAAAACTGCCACCGCTCAGGAGAAAACTGACACCGCTGCTGGAAAAAACGTCCTCTAATCCAAGAGAAAACGGCCATTATATATAACAGAAAACTACAAAAGTCATGTAGTTTATTCAGTCAAAGTAAACTTAGGCGCAGTATTATTCGTTACACTGCTATACTGAGTCTAACAAAACCTAGTAGAAGGTCGCGTCAGCTAACCTTTGAGCGACCTATGACCGTCCAATAAAACGCGAGACTGCCGAACGGATTTAACCAATCCGACAACGACTACTTGTTAGGGTTCGGCGGGACTTACCAAACGGTGTTTGGATTTTCTCTTCCCTGGTCGCTGACACTGATCTATCAACAAACGAAAATCCGCATAAAACACAGATATTTGACCTGCAGTATATACGCTTATGGATTTCTAATGACATGGTTACTATTTGCTTATATTTTGCAAGATGACATCCTTGAATATTGACAAAAAAGCTATTTTCTGCGACTGTTTACTCATTGCGTGTATAACTCGGAAGCGATCGTGCGGAAAATAGCATTCGGAATCGTTCGAGTTTTTGGGGTAAAGGTTCAAAAGGTATGTGCGAATGTTAACTTTCGCGATTTGGTAAGCTGTGTTCTGATTGGTCAGTCCAAAAGGTTAGCTGACGCGACCTACTACTATGTTTTGATAGACGCAGTATAGCAGTGTAACGAATAATACTGAGCCTACGTTTACTTAGGCTGGTAGTTTATTTTGCTCTAAATCAATATCATAATAAGAAGGCAACAACAATGATAACATAGTCATGGCAAAGTTTTAGGTTGTACATCTACAACGTGTATTTATGTATACGTCCGGTAAGTCTGCGCACCTAAGCATATCGATCGCAACACGGCAGCTAACGTCTCATATATTTTGTGGTTTACGTGAATAAACACGCTGGTATGCATCATATTTACCTAGAAATATAAGTTTTATTGACGACTACAAGATTCTAAAGTTGCATTATGCCACACAGTTGACCTTACCGGTGTTCTGACGACATCGCCTGCTGTCCGGTAACTCTGCGCAGCAACTGATGCGCACAACATCCGGCTGGAGAAAATGGCGGACGTTGGCAAAACCGAACATTTTTTGTCCTTGAATCAGCGATGCTAGTAAATACTTTATTGACTGAAAAAGTTTATACATGATCAGGGGCGGATACAGGATTTTCGTTTGGGGGTGCACCGCGCGCTCTTCCGCATGATCATACTGTGAATTTACTTCCGTGAGCAATCTACATATTGCCATGGAGGTGTCGGGTGCTTGTATGAATATTCAACAGGTCACCATGAACTTGTCAGCGATGTGGGTGGGCGTGGCAGGTATGTACATTGATGTTTTTCGTAATTCAGTCTCCTTCATAATTATTTTAATTTTTTTTTAAATAACATGTTATCCCTGTGTACTTACCTTTAGTGATTAAAAGCCAGTCCCTTGTAGAAATGTCCCGATTTCAAGCCTAAATGTGGAAGCAGACGATGCTTACCTTCGATACGGAAGTACGCCATTGCAGCTGCGCAGACTTACCTGACGCGCAAACTTACCGGACTCGCTTGTAATGTTGCGCATCTAACATCTCAGTGGGATGACTGTTTGCCGCAGAATGCTCGTCAAATCACTCTTCATTTGTTTGTTTCTGAAAAAAGGTTTGGGGTCCGAATTGTTTAGGGTCCGTTTTCGCTGGGGTCCGTTTTCACCGTATCCCCTGACATACTACACAATAGTTTAACAGATATACCCCACTCAGAGCATAGTGTATATAATGGTATGAGCCGACTATTCCGTGTTTCATCCCCAAAATATGGAGCACCAGGAAGTGTAACAAACAGTACCACACGGCTCAGTGATCGAACCAGCCAGTCCAGTGATTGACTCCATGTGTATATATTGACGCAACACTAACACATGCAGCCCCGTCACCGAAATTTTGTCATCCGACTTGTTCACTAGACTCTCAGGACTCTCTAGACTCGCAGATTCCTGGAGACCTGTATTCCATGTAAATATCTTGTGTTATCGTACAGTTGTTGGAATATGACTGTGTAAACATGATTGTGTGATATACTATTGTTACAATCCTCTTAGAACCTAGTTTTCGTGCTAGTTTCGGTTTGAAGCGACTCACAGGACACGTCTTGTGTTATCTTACAGTTGCTGAAATATGAGTGTGTAAACATGATTATGTGATATACTACTGTTACAATCTTGTAAGCACCTAGTTTATGGTTTATAGGTGGATGTACTGGACGAACTGGGGTCGGCCGGCGAGTATAGAGAAGTGCGGTATGGACGGCACGAGGAGGCACGCCATCATCACTGACAAGATTCACTGGCCCAACGGCATAACTATTGGTGAGCTGAAACCGTATCACCATCACATTTGTTACGTCATTGATGGTCATTGATGGAATCAGTTTTAGCAGCAATAACTCACATCTCTTTCTGAGATTTGTATCATCATTGACGGCTGTCGCTGTACCGACTGCACTTAGTTGAGTAATAAAACTATTGGCTAGTTTTCTGATCATATGAGGCTGCGAGATTAGCCCATTAGCGACAACGGTCAAATGGCTTTACATTTTGTACATTATCCATAACTTACAGTATTTGCAGGGCCAATATCATCAATGTTGAAGGCATATAAAAGTAACAACCTAATAACCATCAACAATGTAATTCACCTTGATCCGTGTCGTAAAAAACTTGGCAAAAATAATTACGTACTACTCAAAAGGAGTAAAAAAGAACATCTGATTCTTTCATATTTCTGTAAGTTGATATACAGCTTACAGTTAGACTAACAGTAATAATCGTATGTTCTTTAACGTCTTTGAGTAGTAAACATGAGCTGTTGGGTAATGGGGAAAAGTATGAAGTACATATGAAAATAATTCCTTTTGAAGAAAAGCCTTGCAAACAGAATCTTAGAGTTTATATCATTTTTTTATTAAGGTGATTTGATTAGAGCATACGTCTTGGTTTCTTCCAGATTACATAGATAAGCGCCTGTACTGGATCGATGCCTACCTGGACAGTGTCACGACCTCTGACCTAGACGGAAATGACGTCAGAGTCCTCATTGACAAGAGAAGATTCGTCAAGGAACATATGTTTGCTATTACAGTATTCGAGGTAATTTTCACCGACCATGACAACAATAAGAATATGCACTAAAAATAAATAGTGAGTAAGTTTGCTGTCAGTTAGCAGCCGTTTGATTTACAGCCGTTTGGGGGAGATGGGATTTATCTTCGACGCTGCTAAGGATAAACAGTAACAATGAAGATCCAAAAGAGGCTCATTCACAATATCTGACTGGATAGGAGGTCTTACCGCTAAGAGGCGTCCGTCGTAAAATCGCTCCCAGTTCAGCATTTACAAAGGCATGTGTTACAGCTCCATACAGACAAAGTACAACTGTATGTAATTACATAGACAGACACCTGCAGGTATGGAGGTGGGGACGAGACTGCAGGTGCGTGTATACCATTCCCCTGTTTTTCTTGTCTGCAGGACTACCTGTACTGGACGGACTGGCTCACCAAAACAGTGAGGCAGATGGACAAGCGGACTGGGAATATGACCTTCCACCATGTAGGTGGGGTCCACCCCATGGACATCAAGGTCTTCCACAAGTCCAGGCAGATAACAGGTGCGACATATTCACAACGGCAGTACTTTGTTGACCAATACAGAAGTGGCTTTGTTCAAAAATGATGACGAAGCCTCCAACGGTTTAGGTCTCCTTCCTTAACAGTAATACACTGCCTCAATCGTCACCACTCGCCCCTTTCCGTAACCTCCAAGTCTTGTGATCACGAATGACACTGCCTCAATCGTCACCACTCGCCCCTTTCCGTAACCTCCAAGGTTTAAGCTTGTCCCGGAATAACACGAGTGATCAAGAATGACACTGCCTATATTTGTTGGAAAAATATGCTATATTAAAGGTGCTATATTTCTAAAATGCAGTTGAGTCCTCCCGCGGTTTAGGTCTCCTTCCTTAAGGATCTGAAAGTATTGAGGCCAAATCGTAACCACGTGATACATTAATTTATTCCTTTGAAAAATATGATGCGTAGCTGACTCTGAAATTCCCAACATGTATTATCTATATCCAAATGTATGTGTACAATATGTAACACCTTTACAATGTGTTATCGTGCAACCCATTTCCAGTTCGTAACCCCTCACCTGTGCTGGTTGTAAGAGGCGACGTGTTCGGATTCGGTGTATTTTCTGATGTTTCCGTTATATGGTCCGGACTCGATTATTTGAAGGCTGTCGTGACATTTGCTGGAAAAGTTTTATATTACCCATAAGGCCATGCGCATCTCGGGTCCAGACTCTATTATGTACAAACCACCGAATATTTGCAGTTGACGTATTGCAAATGCAGCAAAAAAAAAGGCAATTATATATATGTACATAGCGTGTGACCAACCATAACTCCTAATAGGACGATATTACTCTATTCTTGGTATACGGCTCATCAATAAATTGTATTTTGAAGTATTGTGAATATTCTGCAGAGAGGAACCGATGTGGTCTGGATAATCGAGGTTGCCAAATTTGTTTACCACATCCACAAAAAGAAGGAAGCACCAAAGAGTACACATGCGCATGCGCAGATGGAATGACACTGAAGGCTGATGGGAAGACCTGTGTCAAGAAAGGTCAGTTACACACAACTGTCACATAACAAAGACTTAGTGTGCCAACCAATGTCATAAACATAGATATTCTATTCCGATGTGATACCTGTATGTGTGGAGGTCTGAAGACACCTCCATAGGTTGTCGCGTCAGGGAAACATTCTGCTCTGCCCGTCAGCGTCAATGTTTCTAATTTGTATAGTAAAACATCGTATCTTGTCAGTTGGCTATGTAATCAGATTGTGTACCGATGAAAGAATATTATTAGGAATACCCCATCATATTGATTTTCTGTTGTCCGATATCATAATAATTATATTGGCACGGCTCGATATAAAATGTGATTGGGTTTTTAGGAAGGTATGTTTAATGCTACTTTGAACGATGTGCTAGCTGAATGTGACTGGGGATTCAGATGCTGACAACCAACGAACTCTGCAAAGCGGATGTGAGAACCATAGACAGTTGGGATACCACTGCTCCCGAAGCTCTCCAATCTTTGCATGTACTATATACAACAATATGTATGAAAGATCACTGCGAAAAGAAAAAATCGAAATATTTTGTTTTCTCCCTCTTACTGAACAACAAATAATGCGAACAAAATTTGTATGTTGTAGGTCAAAGGTCAGCCACGTGTTCGTCAGGTTTCCGCTCTGTGAAAGGCAAGTGTGTCGATGACGACGAGTGTGAAACGGGTCCATGCTCTCACAACTGTACCAACACACCCGGGAGTTATAAATGTACCTGTCCTGATGGGTACGCCCTCATCAACGACACAAGCTGCATGACACGTGGTAAAAGGAACTACACTAATTTATGCGAAGCTACATATAGAAATAAGAAGTTTTTAAATTTTGATATTAAAATAATTCTTTTATGTATGGTGCATTTCCATGGGTTACAGAATATGTAGATTTTCTCACATAACCGAAAGGAATAGCATTCGGACACTACCAGACCCACATCATCGATCAGTACCATAGATTTCAGTTCCACCTGTTTGTGCACACGTGAAAGTCACATGACACAGCATATGACGAGCAATAGTCGTAAATGTCCAAGTGGATCTATGTAGGATTAAATTTTGTTTTAATTCGTAAAATCAAAGTAGACTCCTTAATGTAAAAACACGAAACAAATTACCATACTTACCACCTTAAGCAGACAGCAGAATGACGCTAAATCTCTGCCCCGTGATATATAGGTGAGGAAATTCGACGCGTTAATGCCATTTATTTTGTAACTATCTTGGTATCATAATATTTAATGCATAAACGATTACGATCCTACTGAGTCAGTGATCATAGGCTTGCTCTGCGTTTAGCAAATATTCCAGCAATATCACGACCGGGGGACACAAAAATGGGCTTCACACGTTGTACCCATGTGGGGAATAGAACCCGGGACTTCGGCAGGACGACGAACTTTATATCCACCAAGCTACCCATCGCCCCCCTAATTCGAGTACCGTTTAACCACAAGACGTTTTGTATTTTGGTAGAGCCTGTGGCCGCTATTCTCCTCGTGGTTGACAGGAAGAATCTGAAGAAAGTCAACCTCGTGAACGGCAAAGTGACGTCCATTCCTCTCGCAGATGAGAGGTCCCAGTCCAGGCCGACCGCTATCGACTACAGCTTCAAAAACCACACCATCTACTGGACAGATTACCGAGAGACTGGAATATACAGGTAGCTTTCTTCATCTGCCGAACGTGATAACATGACATACTTCTATAATAGACTGATCTATTCACCTTAAAGGCACAATGTCAGATATTTTCGACGATATTTGGGCCTATATTATATATATTGGGGCATATGCACTCACTTTAGCTTCCTATTGATGCAATAAAAGGCTTATTATCCCTTACGACTGAAAATCGATAATTGAAACTTAGAGGCGAACAGCTTCCAAAACAGAGAACAGATGCCATATATGGAATGTAACCAATTGCTCCGTACATCGAAAACTGTTGCACGCGGTGTTGTCGGTGTTTGCTGAACTGGTTTTAATCAGAAGTAGTGCTTTTGAATTTAATATTGTAATCTAAATAGGTAATTTTTATAAAAAAAATATATGGTAACTTCTCTGAGGGCTGATAGTATTATTGAGAGAAATGCATTTATTATTATAGCTCGAAATATGACAATGAATGCGACCACGTTTAATCGAAGGATAATTTCATATTTGCGAGTAAAAATTTGAAACATGATTAAAATTTAGTTTACAAAAAAGATCTCATTTAATAAACAAACAGTTATAAAGCTATAATTATGTTTGAATATTTTTATACATTTGGTTTGTGTGTGGATAGATATGCAATCGCAATTTTACTTACCCATGTTAACTGAATCATTTTACAACACATTGTTGTTCATATTATTAATCACTCGTTTGTCTGTGCCTGTCCCAATTACTTACGTGCTGCTGTCTTGTTACTCGCTGCCGGATCCGGGTGAGAATTTGTCTTCAGCCGTGCTTGTGGTAAGATGCAACTAACGGGATTGGGTAGTCAGGCTGGCTGACTTGGTTGACACATGTCATCGTATCCCAGTGTCGTGGATCGATGCTGATGATGTCAATCACTAGATGGTGTGACCCAGACTCAGTTATATTTAGAAACAGCTGTCAGATAAGCTGGCGTTAAACAATGCAAACATGCAACTATTATTCGCGTTATACAAAAGACATGAAATAGTATTCACAGACCTTTGTCTCATTCAGGGCAGAGCTGGAAGGGGACACCCTGAAGAACAAAAGGAAACTATTCTGGAAGGGTATCCGTGACCCCCAGGGCATAGCGTTAGACTGGGTGCACAACAATTTGTACTGGTCAGACCTCAGCGCGCACTCCCTTCACGTTGCGTCCCTGGACACTATGGTCCAGAAAACTCTTGTTGACACTGACCTTGAATACATCCGGGGACTTGCTGTTGATCCACGACATGGGTATGATGCTTGTAAATGTGGCGTGACGTCACTTTTGACAAACAAACCTGTTGAATGCACAGTGATGTGTTTACCTGTCTTACGTGAAACTGAAGAGTCAACATAGAAAAACGAATGGTTAAAAGTTTCGCGATTATTAACGATGACAAAACATTTTTCATAATCAACAAAAGAAATAGTTGTTGAAATTTCTGATCTATTCACCTTAAAGGCACTATGTCAGATATTTTCCACAATATTTGGACCTATATTATATATATTGGGGCATATGCACTCACTTTAGCTTCCTATTGATGCAATAAAAGGCTTATTATCCCTTACGACTGAAAATCGATAATTGAAACTTAACGAACAGCTTCCAAACAGAGAACACATGCCATATATGGAATGTAAACAATAGCTCCGTACATCGAAAAGTTGCACGCAGTGTTGTCGGTGTTTGCTGAACTGGTTTTAATCAGAAGTTTAGTCCGTTTGGCTCAAAAGCGGACCGATGAATTGCAATCTAACTCGAAAACTAATAAACATAAAATACTCAATGAAACGCTGATCATAATCAAAACATCATACCCACTCTGTGGGGATTTTGCAGAATTTTTGTCCTAAAAATAAAAAAGTTGATTAACAATCTATCATTAAAATATTGACACAGTTCACTATTTGTTACAAGGGAGGAGTGCAGAGAAAGGGACAGCCAGGTGTTCGAGAAGCACGTTCACAGACAAAGTTATCTATTCATTAACCTGTGCTGTGCCGTCTCCATTCGTTCACGAACACCTGGCTGTCCCTTATGATCAGCGTTTCATTGAGTATTTTATGTTTATTAGTTTTCGAGTTAGATTGCAATTCATCGGTCCGCTTTTGAGCCATACGGACTATAGTGCGTAGAATATTCGTAAAGAGCGCTCCAAGAGACATTATTACCCCATGGGGTTCGCAACGATGCATTAATTCACTCGAACTTTTGAATTTAATATTGTAATCTAAATAGGTAATTTTTATAAAACAATTATATGGTAACTTCCCTGAGGGCTGATAGTATTATTGAGAGAAATGCATTATATTATTTTGTGGTTTGATGTAGTGCCTTTATTGTCTGTGACTCACGTTGTCCAGTTGGCTGTACTGGGCTGCTTGGGGTCAGCGTCCTCAGATAGCCCGTTGCGGAATGGACGGGAGCAGTAGGGAGGTTCTCATACACCGAGGTCTGGACACGCCCAATGATGTATCTATAGGTAAGCAGTTCCAAAACGACAGAGCAATATAATCCTATACCCTTTCTCCACAGTGAGCAACTGCGTGCGGATAATTTCGCAAGAAAAAAGAAAATACCTGTATGTAATGAATACATTCAAACAATCCATTGTATAGGGCCTGTAAGTCTCGAGAGGCGCTACTTCCAGTACTAAGCTGGTTCCCGGCGCCCTTGGTGCGCGCCAACTTGCGACATGCGGGCCGGGCCCAGCTTACTTCCTTTCGCTAGCCCATGCCCATGTTAAGTCGGTTTTTTTAGTGCCATAGTAAAATTTGTTTTCTGTACACTGACAGACGGATCTGTATGGTATGACCCGAGTGAGTTGACTATAGAAAACCTCTAAAGCACACTGTCAGTTATTGTTTCTGCTATAAAGCAAAGCACATGCCTGAGACATGCGGCTACCTATAGTAAATGAAGGTGTTGTGTGGAGTGCCATATTGAGTCGTGCCTCCTTAATACAGTGGAAGTGCCAAGATGTTGTGCTGAGAATCATAAACAGGCTCAATGCTGGATCAAATTCTGCCACCATTAAGGAAATTGACTCAACACAGAAAATTGCCCAATTGTGCCTCTTGTCAATCATAGCAATGCAAGTATACGCTTAAGGCGTGTAAATACATATTTTCTAGAACATGCAAGTTATGTACACTGGTCAATGATATTTAGCATTTGAACTGCAATTATAGACCATCGTGTGTCCTTGGGGTGACGAAATGATCTCTCATTGGACAAAAGCAGTTTTTAATGTTCTACTCACTGTTCTCTCTCGACAGATTATGTAAGTGACCGCTTGTACTGGGTGGATGGCTGGGCGACGAAGTTGGTCAGCTGCGACCTGAACGGCAAGGACTGCACCGTCTTGTGGAAGTCGAAGGACAGGCTCATGATATTTTCACTGGACGCAATTGGGGTAAAATGAATATGGTGCTTTAACGCAGTAACTATTTGTTCATCATTGCCACTTCGTGGATAGAAACACAGTCACTATTTTATAATACCATTTTATAGGATGTCTAAGACCTAACCAAGTGGTAGAGAATAGTTTAGGCAGACAACACCTCCGTTCTGAGCATTTAAATAACGCTTTCATTTTTGTCGAAAGGATTAAAACCAAACTTTTCTTTCTGTCCGGGTTCGAGACAACAACCTTCAAATAACAAATAAATATGAACTCGCTGCACCAGTTTGTTAGGCGTCCATATGTAAGAAAACCGATCTCCGTATGACGTGATATAGAATTAACTTAACTAAATTCTACGTTTTTCTTTTAAGATGTCATTATAATGACACTTTTTCTCCTGGCAATTTCAGTGTCTCATCAGTTGTGTCAGCTATATTTATCATTACGCCGTAGCATGTTGAAAGAATTGGTGAAAATCCTGGTTAGAATTGATGTTTAGTAGCCCGTGCTAGTCTAAGAGTCGAGTAACGAGTTCTGGTGGTCAGGTTCGCCAACTCGATTGATGCATGTCGTATCCCTACTTAAGTGGATCGATGGTCATGATGTCAATTACTGGATTGCCTGGCCCAGTCCTGACTTTTTTACAGATCGATGTCAGCTGGAGTATTGTGTTAACCAACATGCTAAATAACTAACATGGAGAAAGACTTTCGAAAAATGAATGCTTTTGAATATCTTGAATAATTTTTAATTGTCAGAATTCAATCTACTGGACCGAGTGGGGAGAGCCTAAAATCCAGGATTTTGATCTGGTGTGGATGGAACGGGGACCTGGTGTGAGTGATGGGACCCAACCCTCGGGGGTGGCCATCGTCCACCCTGACAGACAGCCGTACGGTGAGTTCTCATATCGTGAGTGAGTATGGCTTTACGCCGCTTTAAGCAATATTCCAGCAACATCACGGCGGGGGACGCCAGAAATAGGCTTCACACATTGTACCCATGTGGGGAATCGAACCCGGATCTTCAGCGTGACAATCGAAAGCTGTAACCACTAGGCTACCCCATCGCCCCCGTTACATTTCCGTGTAAAGGATGGCGACTGTAGATGAATTAAGCGTTTGGTTTAGTTGATGATGGCACAGACACGAAAAGACTTTCCCCAAGGTCAGTGAGCGTTCAACCAAGTCGTCTTTTAAAAGCTCAAATACATTTGAGCCGTGTTTCCATGTACGATTGTGTTTTCCATAGCACGTTAAATAAAATGATATAAACCTTCTAGTATAGATGGCAGCAGTTGTAGAATCGAGCAGTACTGTTTAATACAAGTGACAAGCACTTCTGCCAATGACTCTTGTTTAAAGGCAGCACTCCTACGTGATTCGTATGCATGAACAATTGTGCTATCATTCACCTATTCTTTATAGCAGTAGATTTTTCGCAAACGTAAAGAACGTCGTCGTGTATTTATGGCAAGTATGTGCGCAAATTTTGCGTAGATAAGTTGATACTTCCTGTTGACGGTAGAGATACCACAAGAAACAAAGTCGATTCCCCTAGCATATGTATAAGCTTACATTACATAATTTACAATAGGATAACCATTTACCTATATGATACACATATTATGTCCTGTATCCACAGCAAGGTATCGATGCACTGACGCCTTCAGCAACGGCTGTCAATTTTGCCTCCCAACACCACCCGGAAGCAAACAAAACTTCCGATGCGCATGCCCAGACGGTCTCTATCTGCAATCTGACGGGAAGTCCTGTGGCGCTACAGGTGGTCATTTTCTTCTTTACAAACATCATTTGAAAAGGAACTCAGTGATGCACGTGGTAGAGGTTGATTCCAAATCTATTGAATTTTTTGTCAGCACTTCAAACTAAAAGTTAAAGGTAACTCTTTTTCGATTGTCTACATTATCTATATAACATATCTGGGATATTAGTTAGGTTTTAATGAAACATGAATACGCATACAGCTTTCAAAAGAGTGAAATTCATTGTTGTGAATAACAGGACATATTATCAACTGCTTTTATAGATCCATCCTGGCCCAAGTGTCTCCAAGGTTACCGCCTCGTCAACGGCACATGCCATGACGTCAACGAGTGCGAGGAGCAGCCGCACGTGTGTGATCATCTATGTACCAATACCAACGGAAGTTACCAGTGCGCATGTCGTGTCGGCTTCGATCTGGAAAATGGAACATGTGTGCTGAGTGAGTTTAACCATCTCATCCAATGTCAATCTTATTAACTCAGTGTGTGACACTACAAACCGAAACATGAGTCTCATTAACCAATTCAGACAATGACCTATTTTCAGCCGATCCGAATTTTCTTGTGTGAAAGTGAAAATAGACACTACAAACAACTATGGTTACACTAAATTCCAATTCCTTGTTTCATAAGAAAATGGTATTTACAAATTAATTAATTTATAATTTTGAAGTTTAAAAAAATCGTATTTCTGTATTTTATGTCGAGGTCCGTACCAGACCGCCAAACTTTTGTAGCCACCGAGCCTCGTTTTGAGATTTCCACGATTTCCGTTTGTTAGAGCACGACTGAGCACGCTGCACGACGTGTTTGCAAGGATTAGAAGGAGCGTGGTGTTGCAATATACAAGTGATTAGATGTATCAAATAATACTGATTAATATTTATGTATCCAGTTGAATGAGTTGGTCTCAAAGTTCTTGACTGGTTATTGTACTAAGTTGCGCAGTAGGACGGAACCCAGTCAGCAGGCAACGAGAGTGTTATGTAATCAATGTTTTGACTTGCTCATTTGTTTTCGTCAATATCCAGCATCACATATCCAGCTTATTAAAAATGCACGTAAAACGTCTCGAAACATATACTATCCCCAAAAAGAAACGCATCATGAAAATAGCAATTTCATGTAGCAATGAATTAAAACTTGATTCATTTTACAAAAGGTTTTGCTCTGTTTATGAGTCCTATGGTGTTTATGTTTTGAAACATCACAACAAAACGCACCATCCGTAAAATACCCGTATTTAACAGCATGGTTTTCAATTTCGGCGTGTAGTGTCACAGAATACACAATTCACAAGCAATGCACGTGAAAGTTGGGGATCAGATAGTCTCAATGATGGGTATAAAAGGTTGACCGCTGTCTGTCGATTATTCACTGTATTTGGAATATTGTTGACGAACGCAAAATGCCACGTCTAAGTGAAGCCAACCGTCATATCGCCATTGGTTTGCTTGAAGCTGGTCAGTCTCAACATGCAGTTGCCCGACGCATGAATGTTCACCAAAGCACCATTTCACGGCTCTTGGAGAGATATCGCCGGCAGAATTCGGTAGTAGATGCCCCTCGTAGTGGGCGACCTCGAGCGACCACTGCGACGCAGGATCGCTACATCCGGGTACATCGCCTGCGTCATCGAACAGCTACGGTGACCAGTACCGCTCGACAAATACCCGGATTGAAGAGGCTTTCTGCAAAGACCGTCAGGAACAGGTTGAGAGAGGCTGGTTTACGTGCCAGAAGACCTTATTTTGGCCCTGTGCTTCGACAACAACATCGTCGACATCGAGTTCAATGGTGCACCAACGTTGAGGCCTGGAACCTACCGAATTGGCGTAGAATCTGATTCAGTGATGAATCACGATTTCTATTGGAACGACACGATGGAAGAATGCGGGTGTACAGACGTCGACGTGAACGTTTCGCCTACGCTTGCGTTCCCCAAGTGGACAGATTCGGCCGGGACAGTGTTATGATGTGGGGAGCGATCACCTGTCGTAGGAGAAGTGATTTGGTGATGATCCAGGGCAACCTGACAGCTCAACGGTACTGTGACGAAATCCTACGCCCACACCTCCTTCCAATCATTGATCGCCAGAGGGAGTTGTTTCAACAGGACAATGCCAGGCCCCACACAGTACGTCACACTAGAGACTTCCTCCAGAACCACAACATCAATGTGCTCCCCTGGCCCGCAAGATCACCGGACTTAAACCCGATCGAACATCTGTGGGATGCCCTGGACAGACGGGTGCGACGCCGTAACCCTCAGCCCCAGACACTTCAGCAACTCGCACAGGCACTACAGGCAGAGTGGGCTGCGATTGGGCAACACGAGATTCTGAGACTTATTCGTTCGATGCCGAGGCGATGCCGTGCAGTTCTGGATGCCAACGGTGGTCACACGAGGTATTGACTTCAGCGCCACCACACGTCTCCATGTGACACTCAAACTGACTTTCCTCGAGTTGGTGCCAAAGACGGATAAGTCTGCATTTCCAGTGTGCAATTTAGCTTTATTCCATTGACTCAGAAAGCCTACAAGATGTTTCAAAATAAACATAAAAATACTGTTGAAATTCCTATATGCGTTTCTTTTTTGGGAGAGTATATTTAAATATGCACTCCATAGTCATCACAGTCCCTCATAATATGTGTATGGAGGTCAACGACTTATGATCGAAATTAGGAATGCTGCGATAAAAAAAATCAGTTTGGTATCTTGTGCGATGGCTTTGTTGGATGGTTAGTTGGTTTGGTGTTTAACGCTGCACTCAGCAATGTTCCAGCTATATGGCCACGGTCTGTAAATAGTCGAGTCTGGACCAGACAATCCAGTGATCAACAGCATGAACGTCGATCTATTGTATAGAGATACGATGACATGTGTCAACCCAGTCAGCGAACCTGACCACCCGATCCCGTTAGTCGCCTCTTACGACAAGTATGGTTTACTGAACACCAATTCTAACCCGGATCTTCACGAGTTTGTGCGATTGCAGTTACTAAATTCTTGATTCACTGATGTCTAAAATTTCATGAGTGAGTGAGTGACTGAGTTTGGTTTTACGCCGCTTTTTGCAATATTCCAGCAACATCACGGCGGCGGACACCAGAAATGGGCTTCACGCGTTGTACCCATGTGGGGATTCGAACCCGGGTCTTCAGCGTGACGAGCCAACGCTTTAATAATTAGGCTACCCCACCGCCCCTCATGAGTGAGTGAGTGAGTTTAGTTTTACGCCGCTTTTAGCAATATTCCAGCAATATTCACGGCGGGGGACACCAGAAGTGGGCTTCACACATTGTACCCATGTGGGGAATAGAGCCCGGGTCTTCGGCGTAACCACTAGACTACCTCACCGCCCCTTACAATTTCATGAACATCGTTTTGTTTTTGCTTTTAATATCGACTAGATTATGTGTTTCAGGCAAAGATGCATTTCTTATACTGATTGATCACGTGGACTTCCGGCGATTCAACCTTACAACGTACAGCTCAACATTAATGAGAGGGGCCGACCGTTTCGTCGCTCATAGACCAATCGCCTTGGACTTTGACGTGGACAATGCCGTCATGTACTGGTCAGATGTGGCCAGACAGATTATTAGCACGTGAGAGGCATTTGTTTGTTTTTGTTTTGTTTGTTTTGGCAGCTGCCCTTGTGAATACATCAACCACCATGTCAAGACTGTATTGGATCACAAGTTTTGCATAAATGTCTACAGTTCTGTAAACTGTTTCTGGCGATCATGTGTATGAAAGATGGCATACACGAGCGAATCCAGAGAGATGTCCGCGTGCGTGCGTGTGTGCGTGCGTATGTGTTTTAGGGGCAGCAGGGGTTGCCCTCTATTTCTTCAAACACCTTACATTTTAACATCCCTCGGCCAAGTCGTATGTCTGTATTATGTGCACCCCGACATCCCTCAGAATGTATGGGACCGCCTCCGTGGTATAGTGGTTAGAGCGTCCGCCCGGAGAGTGGAAGTTAGCGGGTTCGATCCCCGGTCGCGCCATACCAAAGGACGTTGGTACTTGTTGATCCCTGCCTGGCGCTCGGCATTAATGGGTACAACAAGGACTGGTCAGCTCGGGGTCAGTATAATGTGTCTGAGTTGGGTATTCATGCTTCACTGCGGCATGGTATCTCAGTGAGCTAGCACTATAAAACCAGCTTTAGTCTGGATTAGTTCAAGCAGCCACACATACACATGCATGCACGTCGTCATATAAATGAAATATTCTTAAGTGCGACGTTAAACACCATTTCACCTCACCTCAGAATGTGTGGATCCCTCTGTGACATGTAAATGTGTGATACATGTATACCGCCATATACAGAACAAAGCCTACTGATCTGAGAAACGCTGTAGAAGACGTAGTATCATGTATGTTGGGTGAACGTTTTCCAAACGAAGGACAATGCGTGCCAATGTATAATTATATAACATCTTGAATCATAAGGATTAATCAAAGAGTTGATTTCCAAATCTTATTCCAATTCCATTTCAAGGGCAACAGTGGATGGACTTAAGTTGACACACACCCGTGTTGTCGTGGATGAAGACGCCTCCACCGTCTACGGACTGGCCTACGACTGGGTTCACAAGAACCTGTACTGGGTGGATGCCTTGCCTGATAGCGAGGCTATCCGGGTCAGGTCATTTCGCCGGATGACCACTAAAACCATTGTGGACAGGGAGCTTGGGAAACCTAGAGCTATCACAGTGTATCCCAGCAGGGGGTAAGTCGGGGATCCACAGTACATCCCAGCAGGGGGTAAGTCGGGGATCCACAGTACATCCCAGCAGGGATAAGTCGGGGATCCACAGTACATCCCAGCAGGGGGTAAGTCGGGGATCCACAGTACATCCCAGCAGGGGGTAAGTCGGGGATCCACAGTACATCCCAGCAGGGGGTAAGTCGGGGATCCACAGTACATCCCAGCAGGGGGTAAGTCGGGGATCCACAGTACATCCCAGTAGGGGTAAGTCGGGGATCCACAGTACATCCCAGCAGGGGGTAAGTCGGGGATCCATAGTGTACCCTAAAAAAAGCACACCACGCTCGCCGTGAACCCGTTAAATCGGACGTAGTAACACCGTGGCTTAGCCGACGTTGTGCATGACGTGTAAGAACAGGGCGCTGCTAAACCTGACGTATAGTTTGGCATGAAATGCATGTGGACCCGGTTTTTTGTAAATATCTCTTCATCCAAGGACCAAATCGATCTCAAACTGTGCAAGTGGATGTTTTGTCAGACACGCTAATCACATTGTAAATCACCGATTTTATGCATTTGTATTAAAGAATCTGTCTATGTAACTGTCAACAAAATAAACAGCAGAACGCAGAATGCTTGCAGAGGGAGGGAGCCAATGACCTGTTACAGCGGCAGTGTTGGGTCATAAACACTAGAATATTGCTAGAATATTGCTAAAAGCGGCGTAAAACCCGACTCACTCACTCATTGGTGCCATGAAATCGCATGCATCCTTCGCTATAAATACCATAATTTTGAAGCAGGTTTCACCTGAACACACCAACCTTTGATTATTTCGGTTAACTCCCACTGTGTCACAGATTGTCTACGTGCAACGAAAACGGCCGCATATGAATTATTCCGAGATGCAATGACGTATTGGTCTCAACCTTTTCCGTTCCCACTTGCACTGGCAAGACATGTCTCTCTCGTATCCGACATGGTCTCTTATTAGACATTTCAGTCCGTACATATATGTATCATCTCCGTTTATATCGACCATCACTGAGACCTAGACAATATAAAAGTGCTCTATTGGGATGAAGTCCTTCGACCAATCGTATAATGGTCTCGTTGCTGCAGTGAGTGAGTGATGTTTTACGCCGCTTTTAGCAATATTCCAGCAATATCACGGCAGGCGACACCAGAAATGGGCTTCACACATTGTACCCATGCAAGGGAATTCGACCCGGTTGACGAGCGAACGCTTTAACCATTAGGCTACCCCACCGCCCCTACCCGTGCAAAGGAATTCGACCCGGGTGATCAGCGGACGCTTGAACCACTAGGCTACCCCACCGCCTCCGAGCTGTCGTCAGACTTTACGGGAGAAGAACGTTTCTTGCAAATGTTTGAGCACTTACATTTAACAGTCAGTTTCAACCAAATGTACCGCTAACTTCGCACTTAACAGAGACAATGGCACCTTTCGGTATTTTAAGGCTATGATTTGAAATCCTTCAGTTCCTACTACTGATTCATTACTATGTTACAGTGAATAAGATGAGACACATGTGGACCAGTGTTGTATACACCTAAATAGAAAAACCCCTTTCTACATCCATGAGAAATCTCAGCCAAAAGCGTTATGTCATCTCGGTTAGCCGGAACTATTAAACGGGATGTTTGTGCGGACCAGGGGCGGTGGGGTAGCCCTGTGGTTAAAGCGTTGGCTCGTCACACCGAAAACTCAGGTTCGATTCCCCACATGGGTACAAAGTGTGATGCCCATTTCTGGTGTTCCCCGCCATGATATTGCAGGAATATTGCTAAAACGGCATAAAACATCACTCACTCTCTCACTTTTGTCCGGACCCACCCGCCTGGGTCACTATGCATGCATGTTGCTACTGAAGTCCAACAATCTCAAGGGCGACGGACTTGGGTAGCATAGTAGTTAAAGCGTTCGCTCACGGTTAAAGACCCGGGGTCGATTCCCAATTTGAGTACAACATGTAAGGAGTAGTTCTGGCATTTCCCTTGGTAATTATTGTGGAATATCGCTAAAAGCGGTGTAAAACCATACTCACTTGAACAGGTCGTTAAACTCAGTGTCACTGTCACCATCATATAAACAGTGAGTGAGTTTGGTTTTACCCCGCTTTCGGCAATATTCCAGCAATATCACGGCGGGGGACACCAGAAATGGGCTTCACACATTGTACCCATGTGAGGAATCGAACCCGGCTCTTCCGTGTGACGAGCCAACGCTTTAACCACTATGCTACCCCACCGCCCCCTCATATAAACAGACGGACGGATGCTGTATGTATGTTTTTTGTGCTTACCCAGCTGGGTGTTCTGGACCAACTGGGCGGTGTCGGCTACCATAGAACGGTGCGGTATGGATGGCACGAACAGGAAAGTCCTCATCAACGATGCTATTAAATGGCCTAACGGAATAACCCTTGGTAAGTTCATCCAGTGGGTTTTAGTTGGACCAGGTTTAGAGATGAAAAAGCAAATATTATCATTTTTTATATAAAAACATAAAAAATCAAAATTTGGAAACAATTGACCATAAATGTCTAAAGCGCAAGCCCATATGGGATGTCCGCTAAGAATAGAATTTCGACATTTATGGCAAAGAACGGAGATTCAATAATTTTATCCAAGGCATTCATTATGAAATACTTTCTTCTGCCTGTCTGATCCTGGTAGATTACGACACGGAACGGTTGTACTGGACGGACGCCGGCCTTGAGATGTTGTCCAGCAGCGACATCGACGGTAGCAACCGGCGCATCCTCCTACACAACATCGGCGTTCCCAGGGAACACCTGTTTTCGGTCTCGCTATACGGGGTGAGTGTACATCCATAGCTGTAGCTATCGGGAATTACAGCTTCCTCGACTCGTGACATGCTGAAAGTCAAGTCCTCTTAACTGTTCCAGCCCCAGATACAGTTTGCTCAATGATATGCAAGTTTCAGTCTCATTCAAAGCCGACTGACAATTATTTAAATAATATAGAAAAAGAAACTAAATTATTGATGACCCCTGTGTTTGAATATAGCCAATGCACTGTAAATACAGCCATTTGTGGACCATAAATTTGTCTTGGGGCGATATGGAACGATTTGAATATATCCATCCAATCAAATTACTCTCCTATGCGAGAGAAATGTCCTGCTCTGTTGGAAATAGGGGCGCAAAAGATGGGTTGTTGATACATTTCGGAAACTACTACTGTTTAAGTGTATTTATATACTTACAATATTTAATATATACAATTCCCTGGATAATGTTTGGTAGCATGTTTGAGGACAAATACATTGTGTAAAGTATTGCAATGATGGTCATTGCAGGACTGGGTGTACTGGACGGACTGGATCAACCGTGCACTGAAGAGGGCGAATAAACACACTGGACAGAATATCACGTCATACCGCGTAAACACCTCACCAATGGACGTGAAAGTATTCCACACCTCGCGCCAGAAACCGGGTAAATTATACAACACATCGCGTAGTGCTTCACACAAATGATATATGACTATGAAGAGATTTAACACATTGTACCCATGTGGGGGAATGTTGAGCGAAAGGTACCCCATGAATATGAAGAGATTTTGAAAAGTAATGTATTTTGCATGTACAGTGGATGAAACTCCAAATTCTTCAAATCGGATTCAAACTGATCATGATCAAGTGTTGGTACACGAACAGCCTTGTTGTCTCAGGCTCTGCAATTGACTGTACAGAGTTGCAGCCCTTGTACACGCCAGAAACCGATGATCATGATTACGTGTCACTATGATTTTATGTTTCTCGTTTTATCGTCACCCTTTCCGTGGGTTTCACCAAACTGGCAAGCGTCTGAGTCCTCCATCACTCCGAACCCGGAGATGCGGGTTAGAATGGGTCTTTGGCAACCCATGCTTGTCGTAAGCAGTAGCTGGAATATTGCTGAGTGCGGCGTTAAACAACAAAACAACCAACCATTACTCCGGGTTTTCATCCCACATCTAACTTTACCTATCGAAGCAAACGCGCCTTGATTTAACTGGAACACTTTTCAAAATCTAGTTGAACTTAACTCACTCACTATACAAAATCACATACACAGGACTCACAAAGCAATTGATATTTTCAGATATCGATATCTGCGGAAACAACAATGGCGGATGTTCCCATTTGTGTCTCCCTACTCCTGTTATGACGTCAGAACCACGTGGTTTCCGTTGTGAATGCCCGGATGATATGTTGTTGAAAAGAGACGACATATCATGTGTCCGAATAAGTAAGTACATTTAAGAGACCTTCAACAGTATCCACACCGGCTACTTTAACTGGCGCAGTGTTTTCATCTCAGAACTGATTTTCACCTGGCAAACACTTCTGGTTATCGTTACAAACTGAAATTCACAAAGTCATACCATGCTGACCTTTTATTTACAGATTCTTAACGAGATTTTTCAACGGACGTTTTACAAAAGCAAAAACACCGTCATCACTGTTGTCACCTTGGATGAGGCTATGCTACAACGATGCTTGAAGTGGACATAAAACATTTCGTTCAATGTTGACACCTGAAGTTCGTTTATTCCATGTCTCTGTACATTATTATGATTTATACTACTAAAATAATGTAAGGGTACGTCGATCCCTTCATGTTAATACAGCTATACCGCTGTGCCAGATTAACTGCAGTAATGTGTAAGAATCGGGATGGTCGTTTACCGTTTTTGAGTAACAGTGTTTACACTGGCCACGCTGCTGTCGACAAAATAGCTATATAGTCAAAGATGGGACATGTCTGAAACGCGTTCAATGCCTCCTGGTTTCCAAAATACACCACATCTACGTAACATCATCATTGATTCCTCTAATATAACATGCCCACAGACTGTTGGCCCGACGGCTTTATTGGTGTCGTATATCATAATGGTCACCTCAGTGTAGATTACTAGTGTCTGGCTGGACTTCTATGAAATGTGGGATGACGTATTAACTCTGCTGTCAAACACACATTGTAAATACTATGTAAATAGTTGTAATAAAATCATGTTGTCATTCATTCTAATTCTATTTTTGGTTTATCTGACACTATGTTGACACTGATATTGACTGTAAATCTCAACGACAGTGTGGATTTTGGAACTAAGTTGCTATGGAAACGATGTGGATTATGTAAGTTCTAGAATGTACAGGTTGGGGTGAAAAAAAACAATCAATATTTTCTCAACTGGTCATTGACAAATATCTACATCAATTTATTGGGATAAAGATGTGGGTTGTCAATCATGTCATTTGAGTATTCGGGGCGGTGGGGTAGCCTAGTGGTTCAAGCGGTCGCTCGTCACGCCGAAGACCCGGGTTCGATTCCCCATATGTGCACAATGTGAGAAACCCATTTGTGGTGTCCCCCGCTGTGATATTGCTATTATATTGCTAAAAGCGGCATAAAACTAAACTCACTCACTCACTCACTGAGTATTCCCCCGCTTAGTGCTGATCAGCCAGTTAAGCGTGATATATTAGCGCGTGAATTATCACGTTTCCCCAGCTTTGCTGCATGGAAATATTGTACATGTGACCACGGCAGAGTGCAAAGTTGTCAGAAGCGTCCGTAAAATAAACCTAAATCCGTGTGACTGACTGAAATCCATATTTATTTCCCGGTTTGCGTGATGGTGACCGGATATAGACGTTTGGATCAATATCTGTGACATCACAGTGTCTAGCCGTTTACTACTATTGACCTCACAAAATGATCCGGGCCAACTGGATTCGAGCTCGCGATAGTAACTTTCTGGCACCTAATACTCGCAACTCTGCAACGCAAATACATGCACCTTGCCGGCTTGGCCAATCTTAGTCCCGATTGTGTTTAAGGTACAGAGTAACCCCAACGGCATATTGTGTATCCGTATTTCACTGCTGGACCTCTTTATTTGAAGACAAACATGACAAAATTGAATAAATTCGCCCAAAGATCACGCCCGTGCATGCTGCTAGCTCAACGCTGATTCGAGAAAAGATGAAATCGAACTGTTCTGAACTGAAAACCACAGGCTGACTGCCATTTATCTGCATTCCCCTAAAATAATTTCGTCAATGTCTCGTTTGTCCACGTAACGTTAATCTAGAATGCTGAAGAAGAATCAGACTCGACTGCGTTGAGTGGGGTTGCAATCACCTTTCCAAATTCCAGATAGGCACAGTAATGCTACTGCGCTTTCGTTCAAAAACTCGTGAAGATCCGGGTTAGAATTGGTCTTCAGTAACCCATGCTTGTAAGAGGCGACTAACGGGAACGTGTGGTCTGGACTTGGTTGACATATGTAATCGTATCCCAATTGCGTAAATCGATGCTCATGCTGTTGATCATGACTACTAGATTGCCTGGTCCAGACTCAATTATTTACAGACCGCCGCTATATAGCTGGAATATTGCTGAGTGCGGCGTAAAACAACAAGCCAACAACCAATGGTTCAATAACAAGAGTTGTTATTTTGGCTCATCTCGCAGTAAGTGATTGCCCTCTGCAGGAGGACTCGACACATACATCCCGATCAACAGGGGATCCACAGCTGCCAGCTCATTGGGATGTGACTACACACGCAAGATTCTGTATTTACGAACACACGTCAGAGGTATCGGTTTCAGCACAGTTGCATTTTGTTCTTAACAGGCGGATGACTTTCTGAGTTTCATGATGCCGTGATGTTCTTACTGGAATGCAAAATTTGCACTGTTAAATGGGAAAATGGATTGCATTTTAATCACATCGTCAATACCAGTGGGATAACGTCCTTAACACGTGGATTAAAGGAGATGAAACTCGTAAATATCATTGCACAATGCCATTTAGAAAGAGGTCAAACGTGTTATATTTGGGATTACACTTTCTTTGTTAGGTACAGATTCTAGTACTTTTTGGGTTGAGTCCCATCCGGGAATCCAACCACACCCTCAGGCACCTAATCGTCACCACACAAAGTCAGCCGCCTCAGTCTGATAGTAAATATCACTTAAAGACTCTAAGTACCGATTCTCAGAGCGATCGTAACTTTACGACTTGTCGTAACTCTAGAGTTTATCATAGGCTTACACAGCGCTACGGCCGTTTTGTGGCTCGGGACCTTGAAATGTACATTTGTTTTTGTTTGTTTGTTGATTAACGCCGTACTCAGCAATATTCCACCAATATGCTCTGGAAATATGATCTGTAAATAATCGAGCCTGGACTAGACAATCGAGTGATCAACAGCATGAGCATCCATCTACGCAATTGGGATAAAATGACATATCAACCAAGTCAGCGAGTAGGTTGGAATATTTAAACTCCTATCACAATATGTCAGCTTCCTGTTTCCATCGGGACAGGAGGGCCGGGAGGCAATGGAACGGTAGCCTTTAGGGATGTAACGATGCTTCGAACTATCGATGGACTGCAATTGTTGAGTTTCCGAGAGCAATTAATCAATGGTAGAAACAAAAACTATCGATGCATCGATAGTATGTGTGACTATCGATAGTTTAGTAATTGACATCTGTTGATAAATACGCAGCGCAAAATACCGGAAGTACCAGATTCGACTTTGATTTAGAGTTATCCGCCCCTGTTACTTATTAAACAAACTTATTTGGGTTTCAAGTTCCTTGTCAGTTTTTAAAAGAGACGAAACTATTTCAGCTTTTTTTTTCTCATATAAATACATTCATTTGGGAAATGGCTTCAAAATGAGACAATTCAAGGAGAGAAAAATGTATTGCAATAGACCATAGCTATCGCAATAGTTGTTTCCCCCTCAATAGTCACCCCTTGTAGCCTAAGCTACAAAGACATCCTTTCCCGTTTGAATTAGAAGCTACATGTTTTCATCATACGTGTGTAATGGCCACATTTGTCCCGTAATGGAGAACGGCAGCTTTACAAGCTAGTGTTTGCTGACATACACGGAGTTTCAGTCTTTTTGTTGAAAATTCCAAGAATACTTGATCGATATTTATCAGCGTTATCTTTCGTCTGATTCTATCGTGCCGTCGTTCCCACGACCTGTAAAGTCGTCACAGCGCCACGTCGTAACGGCGGGGACGTTTCCAGGAATGTAGAGGAGACTTGAATCAAAGTGACCCACTCTGCCGTCTGCCGTTGCCACATGGACATTCAAACACCCTTCTCTTGATCTGTGTTTTCCATCGCAGTCGGCACAGGTCGAGGACGCAATCTGCGCTGTTAGCTGAGACGTTTGTGTCCTCGACCTGTGGAACCAGACGATCAAATTGACGACGCCATGTTTGTTTTCTACCCAGGAACAGAGTCAGTTTTCAGTTTTGCGCCGCGGGTGCGTACAAACACTACGCCCTCGCAAGCCACGAAGCGGTCTTAACTTTCTGCACATCATCACAAAATAATGTTAATATGTCTCGTATTGCTATTGTTAGATATCTCAAAACATGAAGAGGCAGTGGTCTAATTTCGCCGATATACCACTGTTCATGACACGCCTAAACGGATGGTTTTATCTAAATTGCTCATCTGGTGTCGGATTCAGGATCAGCGGAAAACCTTCAAACCATGGCTCCTGAATGTTTTAATACCATGACGATATTAACCTTCTGAACTTGTTAGTTAAACGCAACTTGTCATTGACGAGGTTCTCTTTTCTACCAGCGACCCATTTATGGCGTAACAGGATGAAAAGCGTATGTCTATCTCGCCAAAAAGTTAAAACATTTTGTGGAAGTAAAAATTGGATATTCATAAATATGAAGACTTACAGTCAATCTATAATTTCTATTTATTAGTCAAAACACTGATTACACAACAGTCTAGTTTCCTATTGACTGGGTTCCATCCTATTGCGCAACTTAGTACAATAACCAGTCCAGAATTTTGAGACCAATTCATTCAACTGAATACTACGCTCCTTATAACCCCGTGCAAACATGTCGTGCAGCGTGCTCTGTCGTACAGCGAGCACTGACAAACAGAAACCAGGAAATCGTGGAAATCTCAAAACGAGTCTCTGCCGCTAGAAATGTTTGGCGGTATGGTACGGAATTGATATTATATCAATCACATTGCGCGTTACAAAACTACACTGAATAAACGCAAAAAAAAACACACAACAGGTGTAACCAGTGAGCCAGATGCATTGTGAATCATTTTACGACCTCATCAAACTGGGGCAGTCTGTGACGTCTTAGTTAAGGTCATGTTGCATACACCTCGCCATAAAATATAGAAATACGATGTTATTAAAGTTTAAAATTAAAATTCAGTTGTAAATACCATTTTTTATGAAAAAAGGAATTGGAATTCAGTGTAACCATAGTTGTTTGTGATGTCTATTTTCACTTTGACACGAGAAATGTCGGATCGGCTGAAAAGTAGGTCATTGTCTGAATAGGTTAATGAGACTCATGTTTCGGTTTGTTCATCGGTGCCCTAGAAGATCCGGGTTAGATTTGGTCATCAGCAACCCATACTTGTAAGGGGCGACAAACGGGATTGGGTGGTCAGACTCACTGACTTGGTTGACACATGTCATCGTATCCCAATTGCGTAGATAGATGATCAT